CGGATCAAGATATTTATTTCTAAAGAATACAATATGCTGTACGTTAAGCAGAGGCTAGCAGACTCACATACCTGGTAGGTACAGAGGGAGTGAGACAGCATGTTGCAGCGACTCGCTCCCAGCATGTCCACCTTCTGACACACGTCATTCTTCAGCTTCTCAAACTGGCCCTTTGTCCCTCTCACCTGGGCTTGGACCTGGAAACAGAAGGACATAAAAGATAAAACAACTACACACATGCATTCAAAAAGAGTGCAAACCCTCCAAAATATAAGTCCTCACACCTTGCGAAATTTCTCCAGCTGTTTGTAGGTGTCCGGGTCGAGCTCCAGGGAGACGTCTTTCATCCAGAGCAGAGCTCCTCTGTATTCTGTGCGAGACTTCTCCATGCGACTGACTGTTAGCAGTGTGTCTGCGATGGCACGCCGCCTGAACGTCTCCACTTCCTGGTACAGACGCCGGAGTGGAGTGCAAAGTGCCATCCTGTGGAAAAAGGAAAGACGGAATAGACATTTCAAATCATGCTTGAAGATCTAAAAGGAAAACATAAATATCAGTATGGCTTTGCTGCTGACCTCTGCTTGGCGGATGTGCACAGGGCCTTACTGGTGGCGTCCATCATGTTGCCAGCCTTTGTGCGATCATGTTCACCCTGGAAGCGCAGGAACAGGCCGAGCTCGTTCTCCTCCTGGGACAGGCCTACAAGGAGAGTTCAAGATTACACAGACATACACTAAGGACAAAATGTTTAATGAAGAAAACTAATAAGATGAAGACTTGTTACATTATATGAGAATCTTGAGGGTTACTAATATGCACTTATTTAAAGAAAATACAGAAAAACAGAAGCTCTCTGCACAGGTGAGTAAGAGAGTGATGTTGTTTCATCGTTCACTTCCTAAGACAATCCTAACATTCAATCCAAACATTCAACTCAAAGTTCACACCTTTGATATGATCACTTACACTTTGAAGTTATTTTTGATTTAGCTTGTAAAATAAATAAGAAAATAAAACTGTACCAACATACTCAGTTACATAATATGGCTGTGATGAGCTGTAATATAAGCTTTGTGTGAATTTTGGTATAAAAAAAGCTTCTGTATTAGCAGACATGTCATCATAAACACTTCAAAACAAACAAAACTGCGTTGTCTGATCGTTTAATCGGACATTTCAACATCTGAAGTGCAAAGCGCCCACTTTTAGGAAGTGGACGGAGCAGCGCCCGTAGTTCTGACTGTGACTCACGTGTGATCCTGTGCTGGTACTTCTCGATCACCTTCAGCAGCTCTGTGCACGTGCACTGAACCGAGCGGAAAAACTGCAGAGACAAAACATGCAACATTTGAACACTTAACTCACACAACAATCCTCTCCGCCTTTGGACGTTTTCTTGAAACACTTGAAAACATCGTGGTCTTTGAGGTTTTATTTGACTTGTTTTCATTTTGTGAGGCAGCGCGGCGACCTTCTAGTCAGTACATTTTCTTCTGCCTTACATTTTTGTCTGCCATTCAGCCTCTCCTCCCATCTGCCAGACAACAACAGTGACTAAATGACGAGCGTGTGTCATAGCAACACAGATTTCAAGGCCGCTCCTGTGCCATATTCATTCACTCTCAGAAACGTTGGATTTGGCCCTACTCTTGTTAATCCGTTACTTTTCCCCTCTACAGTTGTTATTGTAATGAATCTAAAAAAAAATCTTCAATTTGTGGATCTCTCCTTATTATAAGCTCTCGATGTCAGCTGAAAAAAAGCACATCACATCCCTAAAAATGTCAGTATTTGAAATGTGCTTGTGCTTTTTACTGCATGACCTTAACTGTAAACCCTGTCTGCAGCAGGTTTAACGTCAGATACTTTAAGGCTGCGTCCTCTCCCTGCACCCTGCCAGTCTTAAGACTGTTATAGAGCTGAGGGAGGAGGTGAATTGAACATGTGGAGTTACTGATTAACTGCAGAACAAACAGTCAGTAGCTCCATTCGGCTGCCTCAGCAGCAGCCAAACACCTGCCAGTGTCACATCTCTGGTTTTTTATACATGTCACCAGTCCTGCTTTTAATGTCTCAGCAACCCTCACAGATTCATCTACATCATGTTATAATGGAATAAAAACTGATTTGAGTCACAATTATACGGCAGGAAGCAAACAGACGAATGGAGATAAGCATTTATGTCTGCAGGAACACATCAGTATAATCAGTTTAGTGTTGTTTTCCATGTTTCCTCCGGCTGATCCCATGTTTAGAGCCTGATTTATATTTCTGTTAGCGGATATTATTGTTCATGTTGTGCTTATAAAGAGAGACACATTGGTTTCAACATGTTTCTTTTCTTTTTTTTGGGGATGCGTCCAGAAGATGCTCCTAATCAAATCTGTCCTGGTGATTTTAGGTCTCAGCTGCTGCACAGAAGGCTAACAGTCAAAATGAAATCTGAAAGCCTCTTATTTTGTCCATCAACACATTGCCCTTCTTTTCTGACTTTTGTGTCTCACTGGGAACAAACATAGGGACACAATGAGAGCAGGAGGAGGACAGAACACAAGAGGCCTTATCTTGTTCCAGAACAAACAAAAGCCTCACAGTGGGTCTCTCTAAGAGCTCAGTGAAACTCTACCACACTCACAGTACCGCACCGTCAAGACATCAGGTCACAACTAAATGCCAGCTGAGTCTCAGCCAATCACAAATGTCTGCTCTCATTTAGCACAGAGGTGAGTAATGAGTGAGTGGCAGAGGGACAAACTGTTTGTTTTCACAGTTGTTATTTGCTGCCAGACATCTGACGTGTTACTACATCTGTAAGAACGAGATCTACGCAAGCAAAGGACACCTTGTGCCAACACACAGCTGAAAAACCGTCCTTCCTATGTATTCTATAGAATACAATGACACAGATTTAAAACTGGGTAAACAATACAAAGACGTTATGTTTTACAAAAAAAAGAGTTCATTAATTTGATGAATCAGCATAAAAGTAATACGAGTGCAGTTATTGAGTGGGAGAGGAAAAACCAAACATGGATCCCCTGAATAGGACACTGCCAGCAAGAGAAGAAGCCATTCAGAAATATTGACAGGGGGGAGGACATCTCTGACATAATAACACCCTAAAAACACACAAGTCATGTCTCCTCTCCTACCTCTAGCTTTGCATCCAGATCAGCGTCCGAGGCCACGACGTACTCGTCCTCCTTCTTCCCTGTGGCTTTGATGAAGACCTGCTTCGTCTTCCAGAACTTCTTCTGCATGCGGGCCATCACCGAGCTGTCCTCGCCGAGCAGGGCCCGGCCACCGCTCAGCATGTCCCCTGAAAACCTGCAAGACACGGGCGACATCTGAGTCACTGATGAAGTTGTGATTTCAACTACATGCGTCAGTTTTGCGGATGGGATTTTTGTACATACCCGTCCATCATTGGATATTTCCCTTTTTCTTTTTTGAAGACAGAAAACATGGAGATGATTAAACAGAGGACAATAAAGCCATGTGAAGTTACAGTTGCATAAAAGGATGGAGATTACGGATACTTCAATCTTTGACTGTACTTCTGCTTTATTGTTTTTTTCATGAAAAGGTTTTAGAGTGTACCATTACAGAAGATATTCTGTAAGACTGAGTGATAATGCCCAAACAGAAATATAACTGCTGCTAGATTTCCTGTTGAACTTGTACTAAAGAAACAAACCATGAGAAACAAGATGGCATTAAAACAGAGTTGACAGCTGCTCCTTAGTGTTTTATAATCGAGTTACAAGCGGTAATCACTGAGTGTTATCTGTGGCTGTACAAAAACAATCGGTGCTAAAGGCTAAAAAGCTACTCCAATGTGTTTCTAGGAGCTGGGATCAGACACCTGCGACTTCCAGGAGTCAGGAGAATAGAGCCAGCTGGCTGTCGAGCAGGTGTACTGTTACAACAAATGATGCCTAAACGACACGGAAATACAGAAATAACATGCAAGTTTCAGTGTTACATTAACTACCAATGGGAATACTTTAAGATAACGTATAATATAATACATAAGGGTAGTTGAGAAAAGCAAGAAAACGTCAGACAAGGAGCTTTGTCGCTAGCAGCAGTTTAGCTAGCAGTATTAGGTATCAAAGCCAGAACAGAAACCTTCTTAACTTTTAATCAAACGAGTCTGTTTCTTTATGTTATGGTCAAATATTCAGGGGGTTCAATAGGTTTACCTTGCTTTTGTCTTTTTCCAGCTGTCCGAGCATCTATGCAGCGCAGCTTTGGCTAACCCCCTCTCCTGAAAGCCGTCATAGTCTGACTCACAGAAACAGGATATGCAAAGTAGACGTGGTGCCGTTTGGACACACGGGGGCGCTTGTTGTACAGGCCACACCAAAGATCGTCTACGTAAAAGATGCGCTATTCACATTTCACAACAACCGACTGCTTCATCTTCATATTTACAGCTGAGAAAGTCGAATTCAAATGGCATTTACGCTAATAGATATATGTATTGTAGACTTCTTAAGTCACTTTATACGACTTTCCCTCGCACATTTTTTATATTTTTCCATAAACTGTGCATACCGGTTAACAGTTAGCTATGATGAACATGCCCTTGACCACCCTGCTTCGGAACTGTAAAACCAGCCAGAGTGAGACCTCTTCTTTTTTCCTCTTCTTTGGTCAAACAAGTCGGAGGAGGAAAAAAGTCTGTTTTTCCTCAACAGGTTTTTCTTAATAAAGCAAAAGAAATAAGGAAGTTGGAAACTTACAATGGTTGAGGATGGTAACTACAAAAATGTGAATTATATCAGACCTCAAGAAACAATGATAAATAATGGAATTTTTCAGATATACTGATATCATTTTTATTTCCATCAGCAGTTGTTGACCAATAAAAATCTGTTGTAATATCATGGTTTCTTTGTCAAACATTCTGTGGTAATTTTCACTGTATCTGAGCCATCAGCAAATAATCTACAATCAAGCACTTAAAAAATAAAACAAATAAAATAAAACAGATATTCTAGGAGACAAAATTAATTTATAGTTTTCTTACAATGCAGGAAAACAAAAACAATCCACAAGTAAATATGTGTAAAAAATAGAGTTGGGTTAAAAGTAACCATGAGAACTAAGAACAAACTGAAATATATTGTGTTCAGTACAACATTCAAACACTGATATTGCGTATTTATGTCTGTCCGTTCTGTCTGTGGTGATGAATGGAGGATCTCTTGAAGCCTACGCCCCTGCATCCGTCTGACAGGCTGAGTATCTGTAGGTGTACAGTTTGTTATCTGCGCCTCCACTCAACATCAGCTGGAAATAGAAAACAGAGAAAGCAGGTTACTTACAGATCCTGTATGTTTCCTCTTAACCATATCATTTTAATTATACATTATCAAAGTCTGAAGCAGTAAAAGCACTTTAATCTGAGCTCAGATTTGTAGGGGAAAAGGTCTTACCCCACTTTCTGTCCAGTCCACACTAAACACCTTGTCCTCATGTGCTGCCAGGTCATACAGAGGAGCCTTACAGCTGCAACACATGGAAACAATATATGAATTTCATGCACTTAGCTGTATTACATAACTATTCACGCAAAAATCAAGAGGAAAAAATTAACCAAAAGAAAGAAAAACATATATCATAATACAGCAGCAACAGAAAAAAAGATTTTGAAGCAGGCAGACGAAAGAGCTCCTTAACTAATGAGTGTTACTTCTGACAAAGACAGGAAGCTTGTTCCAGACAGAGGAACTGCTGAGAAAATGTTCCATCTCAGATTGGTGGACTAAGCAGGATGTCGTGCTCTGCATGTCTGCAGCGATCTTTCAAACTGTCAAAGCCAGGATAGTGACTTAGTGTATGCTCTCATTAGCTCCTTAACATGAACCTCAAGTCTACAATGTTTGAAAAGAGCAGAAGAAGAACCGGATATTTCCTGGATGGAAGGTTAAATACAAAGATTCAACAGCTCATTACTGTCCTGTTTTAGGCACTAACTCAACCTATTCCACAAAGTCTAGAGTAGAAAGTATGTGATCCACAGACCTTCTGGTGTCCCACAGTTTGACCAGGTTGTCAAGGGAACCTGAGATCAGCTGGTGTTCATGTGACGGCGCCCACTTCACCGCGGTGACCCAGCCAGTGTGGGAGGTCAGAGACAGCAGCACCAGCGACCCGTCTAGAGAATAGAGGGAGGTGTTTATTCCCAAGGATAGCAACAAAAAAGAGCTTGTAGACTGGAAATGAATAGTGCAGGGTGGTACCTTGGGTTCGAGGGTCCCACAGTCGGATGTGTCTGTCGCTGCTACCTGACGCCAGCCGTCGACACAGAGGTGAATAGGATATGCAGTTAAACACTTTAGTGCCCGTCTGTGGAAAGAATGAAATAAACTCAGTTAATCAATGTATCCCTTATATAAACTTTATATTGTAACCAAGTATTTTCTTTAGATGATATTGAAACCTAGCATCTTTTCAGGCATTTATTTTCTGTTTATATGAATACAGACTGCACATACTCAAATCTGAGACACTTATACACACTTAATAGTGCCATTACAAACTCTAACTCTATGTAGCAGCCTCTCAATGGCTTCAAAAATCCCCCATTAACGACACAAAATCCCTCAATTCAAAGCAGATAACTGAACTCCAGTTGACACATCAGCTTCTGGACACGTTTCTCACCAGCGTGGTCTTCATTCCTCCCGTCTCCACATCCCACACACGGATGGTGTGGTCCCACGACGCACTGCAAAGCTCCTCACTGTCGCACCACAGTACAGAGGACACTGCCTCGCTGTGTCCGGATAACGTCATCATAGGAGTCTGTGGGGGAAGAAGAACAGGAAGATCAGCTGTTAACTTGTACGTCAGTTTTCATGTTAGATTTGCTTCTATAATCCTCGTCGACCACTTACCCTGGTCAGGCCCAGCTGTTGAGTCTTCTGCTTCTTCCTCGGTCTGTCGGCAGGCTCTTCAACCTCGTCTGCCTCCTCTGTGGGTACTGATATCAGAGGCAAAAAGGTTATTAGAACGTTTTTTAAATGTAGTATTAGTATAGATTAATGTCATAATTCTGGAAACTTACCAGCTGACCAAATCTTCAACATTTTGTCCCAGGAGCCACTGCAGAACTGTTTGTGAGAAAAATAATCTTTACATTTGTCTTATCCTCCACTTATGTCACTTTTTGCTATTTAAGGTATTTCCTCTTTACCTTTGAGCCGGTGGGGTCCGTTGCAACAGTGTCAACACTTCCTGTATGCCCCCGGCAGCAGTGTCTGGCTTTCACCTTGTTCCTCTCCGAGTTCCACTCCCACAGCAGGACCGTTTGGTCGAGAGAGGCCGTCAGAAGCAGAGAGGTCAGACCGTCTGCACAGAGAGGTCGACACAGATTCAGTCAGGAGAGGTTGTTGTTTATTATCAGAGTGGCTGTTTCCATTCCGCACTGCTTACCTCTTTTGACCCAGGCCACATCTTTGACCACATCTGAGTGTCCAGCTACCGTCATCACTGCCTTGCCCTCCACAGACCAAATCTTGGCTGTCTTATCATATGAGCCAGTTAGGATCCTGCAAAACAGAACAAAATAAATCAGAGATATACCAGTAACTGCTTTCAGCCAACCTAAGATATTTAAGTTATCAGTCATCTTACCATTCAGTATCTGCATCTATGGAGCTTATCCAGTCATCATGCATCATACACTCCTCTGGTTCTGGGGCTGTGATCCGCTCTACATACTCTATCTCCACCACATCTTCCTGAAACACACACAAATACATGTCAAATAACATGTTCCTTAGCAGTGCAAGCGCCTCACTCTGTTTCTACAGGCTGAGGTCAGAATTGAGCCAGTCTTACCGTGGATATGCCTTCTGTCTCCATGTGAGTGGACAGGGACGTTCGCAGGAACTGACCCCTGACAAGGAAGTCAAACTCCACCGTGGTGTGAGATGCTGTTGAGAATAGTAGAAGTGCGTTGTAATGAAAGACAATTACAATAGTGACAAAACAGATCGTGTGAGAGACAAGATAAGGGACATTTTGTGTTTTTTTTTTTTTTTTAATATTGACTGTGGTGTGGCTGTGTGTTTACAGCTCAGGTCTACACTTTAGGAAGTGGCTGTCTAGATCAGGTGTGTGATCTGAGAAGAGCAGAGGTTTTAGACTGATACAGGTCTCGTGTGTCAGACTGATTATATCTGCCATGGACTTCATTCACTTGAATAGATGCACTAAATGTTTAATAAATGTACTCCTGGATCAAACAGCTTGGTACTTATGTACTAAACTGATCTCCACTAACACATGTAAGGTTTTGCAAATAAGTAAAAAATGTTTGAACTGAATGCAAATGTAATTAAACATTAAACTTATTGTCCGTGCAGCAATGGGCCCCTATCTTAAATCAGTTTGTTGTGTCACAGTGTTTATGATAAGTTGATATGATGGTACAGAGAGATGACTAAGAACATACTGGGGATCTTCACAGAGAAACACAACTTTTTACTGGAAACACTAAGACACATGTGTTATTACTAAAAGTGAGGTGTGATTTTTTTACCATGTTTAGCTCCCAGTAGTTTGTTAATGACATTGCTGAGGTCCTTCACCTCAGAGCCAGCAGGGATGGAGAATGGGACATCATCTACAACATACCTAGAAAGAAAGGAACGTATGTAGGTTATAAGGTTATATCACACATTAATTGCAGTATAAAATACATGCAAGTATAGAAAAGTAGTCAGTAATGTCTTGAAAGTGTTCGCATTAGCTAGCTAAAACAACAAGCTAAAAACATACGCTATTAACCGTGGAGGCTTACTATTATAAGAGACGATCTCAAACCTTACAGTAAAAATGCATAAGTAAAAAGGGTTAGTAACGTCAGAAAGTAATTTCTTTCTGTTTACTTTCTGTTGCAGCTAGTTAGTTAGCTAGCCCGCTAGCCTATCCCATCATGTTGCGTCCAAGTGAAAAGAGAGCTTACTTTTTGTTTTCCGTGAAGAATCGCGCTTGTAACTGCGACATTTTGTATTTATATTTATCTCAGCGATGTTAAAATAAGAGAAAGATCAATCGTCTATCTGTTCCTACATAACACATTTAACTCTCATGTTACTAGTCAGTCATGCCATGTGGTACCGAGCAAGACACTTCTAGTAGAGCGCAGATGGAGCCAAATGATCATGCGGCTCCGTGTGTTCCATTAGTGATGTCTGCTCGTAGTAACATAGGAAAAGGATCTTTAAAAACTGCTCGTCGCAGTCAGTAATTGTTATTTTAAAGCTCTGTTAGTCAAGGTGGGTTTATATTTAACTAAATATTTGTTTTTATTTAATTCGATAACATTACAATGCGTTTTTATAGTACATGTTCATTTGTTTTGCATGTAAAGTCTTCAGCTGGAATACAATTACTTATTCTAGTACAGTTGTACAGTATTATATTTGTACACAATTAAGTTTATTTCATAGATTTACTTATTAGTCACTCTATCAAGGCTAATTATTACAAAATATAAAATATGCATTATTATTTTATAGTTCAGTTGATTCAAATTCGCGCTCCTTAAAAGCTGCAACAATAAAGAGAAGTACACATGAATACATCACTAACCCGATTTTGGAAATATATCTGCAATCTAATAAAGGTAATTCTTTTTATTTGAAGTATATTCTTTAAAATGTTGAAGGACTAATGTAATGGAGGTTAACAGTTTTACGCAAAACACAAAAACATTTCATACTCAAAACTAGCTTTTAATTAATGTTTATTTGATGCTAAAACCTTTGTAACAAAACAACGCTTACTTTACACATGATATAGTTTTGGGACTACTTTGATTATTTGAAATCATCTCATTTGAAATGCAGATATTGTAGAATAAGCATGTCCATTAACAATCATTTTACTCAGGACCCTTTGGTTAACTTATCAGGAAAGCTGGAGCAAATCCATTTTTGAAGGGGTGTTGTATGAAGGTAAAATTGTCCCGAAAGTCATCAAACTTCATAACCATTCATGTTTTGAAGCACTGGTCATATAGCCAAGTCATTGGACGTCTCTATGGATTTGTGAATACATGGAAAAATTACTGCTTTGTTCTTTTTGCTGAATACAGGAAAACTGCTCCTTTTTAAGAAAAGTGCAATTTCCAATCAATGAACAATAAAGCTACCACATCACTACTCATTATAAAATCAAATTTCCTTTTTTAAAAGTTCATAACCCTTCATACTATGGAAAACAAAACAAACAAAAAAAGATTCAGGCAAAGAAAAAAATCTTTTATTTCACCTGGGCAGACGTTCAGTCTTGGACAGTAAAAAGGGAATTGGGACACTTCCCTTTTCTGAATTTCATTGTCTGATACAGATGTGTAAATGTAAGATCAACATAAAAACCATGATTCCAAACTTAATACACATCTTTGAAATAGGAAAAACTACTATAAAGCTAGAGATGGCATTGATTTGGAAAGCACTCCTTACTCACAGTTGTATAAAGCAGAGATCCAATGTTGATGTGGTTTTATAAAAGTAACTCTTTCACAGTCCAGAAATAGGTACTCAATACTGTACTGCCCGTATTCCATATAAATGAGAGACAAAACTAAAATACCATAAAGACTAAGACAGAAAATATATACACTCTCCACTTTTTCACTCGTCGTCTTCCTCCTCCTCCTTAACCTTCTTTTTCTTCTTCTTTTTCTTCTTTTCTGTGGACTGTGGAGACAAAATGGAGATATTTCAGGTTTTAAAAAAGCACCACTAAAACAATTCTCCTGTGGATCATCTCCAGACTTTACAAGGAGCATTTCCAAAATAACTTCCTACCTCTGTTACTGCTACTTCTTCCTCCTCTGGTTCCTCCTCCTCAGCCTCTGCTTTCTTGTCCTTCTTTTTCTTTTTCTTCTTTTTGGGAGTCTCCTCTGCTGCTTCTTCTTCTACTACAGGGAAGGCAGGAAAAAAACGTTTGAGTATTATGAACTCCGTCATGTTGTCTTGGACACAAGATCAGCTTCATGCCTGTTTCACCCACCTTCTGTTACTGTCTCCTTTTTGGGCTTTTTGGATTTCACCACTGGTGTTTCAGGCTCTTCACCAGCCTCCTCCTCCTCCTCAATCTCCTCAAACTTTCTCTTCTTTGATGTGGAGGGAATAGTGGAATCACCAGATGGATCGTACATTTTCACTTCACTGAAGAGGAAAAAGAGGATTTTAAACGTGGACATACTTCCTTTGTTTTTTAATATTGTGGGTAGGTACAGAGCACTCAAAACCTATTTCTGGAAGTCAGATGGTTCACACTACCACTTTCACTGTAGGAGGTGGGTATCAGTGAAAACTATATGCTTTCATAGTTTCACCTTCTTTTACCTCCAAGTAGACATACATAAAGTTTGTGGCTTTTTACCTCTTGTGTTGATATTTGTCTGCCTTTGCCATTGCTTTGCCTGTTCCACTGATTCTTCGAATCTGAGAACAGAAATGAACAAGATTAGATTACAGTAAAAATAATCAAAACAAAATTTAACTGGCATGTTAAAAAAATATATATTCAGTATATAGAAGTAATCCATTCATAGTAAAAGTGGAACATGACTAAGTGAATTTTCTCTGACCTTTTGGACCATATCGATATGCTAAATATCAAAATTAAGATTTTATTCAGATAATGTTGGTCAAGTTAAATAGGTAGATATTTAAGCACTTGATGTAAAAAGATCCTGTGAGGAACTTTTGGTTTTGGATTTTTTTGCGCCCTCCAGTGGACAAAGTGGTCTTTGCATTGATAAAAGACTGAAGAAAATCATCCTGCTTTCTTTAAACTGTCAAATGAAATGTATCACACAGGTTTCAGACATAAGCTCACAGGGTTTCAAAATATGAAGATATCAGTATTCACCACATCTTAATTTAAATTAAAGATTATTTTTCAGAACTGTACAGCACTAAACGATATCCTCTACTCCATGAGGTTTTATATAAACTAGCCGAGAATTAAGTACACCCAAGTTGTACTTACTCCCTTCTCCTCCAGCTGCCGCAGCCTGGCCTCCAGCTTAGCACGGTTTTCCGCTCCCATTTCTGCATTAGTGTCCTCTCCCAGGGCATCATAGCGAATAGCCAACGATGCTTTAGCTGCCAGCATTCTGGAGATCTAGTCGGATATAACAAATACACAGTCAGTGTTGAAGTTCTAACCATTCAACTTTGAAAAAATCATGTCCTAGACTAGTCACTGCTCCTTCTGGACTTACCTTGCCCTTATTTTTGGCTGTGGTCTGGCCCACTAAGGAGGCGTGGTAGATGAGACCATACTTGGGCGTGTCTTTACGGGTCTTCAGGGCTCTGAACAGAGCCTTCTCTGCTCCGAGGATTTGCACTGTGGATGCAGGATGCTTCGCCAAATTCAGGAGGGAACCTTAAGAGCAACAAGAGTGATGAGGAAATCTGCTGCTCTTGTAAGTACATCATTCCTAAAGAGCATCTTAACACAAGCTCAGATGAGGTAGTGACTTAAAAGCATCAGTCATTTTCAGGAAAGTGACATAATGTCGTCATCATCACTGCTTGGATGGTATTGAAAAGTCGATTCTTTTTGATTTACCTGCATGTGAGATGAGTCTGGCACCCACTAGCTCACCCACCATCACTGTCAGATTTGGGGCAATAGCCATCATTCTGTTCTTCAGGTAGTCGTACAGCTGTGTGCGGTATTCTGTGATCTCAATTACCTGAGAAAAACAAATAAATAGGATCTTTATTACGACGACAAATGGATAACCATAAAAGTAACTTCTAGTGAATGAAGAACTGTGACTGTTCAGATGAGGTAGTGACTGAAAACCCACATGTTTGTTTCAGGAAAAAGACAACTGTCATTATCATCACTACTGTCACTTGAGCTCTCCTACAATAAGATGAGTATTACACAGAACTTTGAACTTCTGGTGATGAAAGAAAGACACATACCTGGTCACACAGGTGCCTGATGTTTCCTATATCCTGTTCCGACACCTCTGTTCCCATGGAAATCTCAGCAGCCAGTTTAACCTCTGCCTCGATTTCCTCAGGGAGGATGTCCGACAGATCGGAGGTGGCCACATTTGTACGATCACCTGGAGAGACACATAGGCACAGTTAGTTCCTCAAGAAAACTGTTGCTATTAGTTTGCATGTAGAGGTAAGCTGCCAAATTAAGTGCTTGTATATATTTGTAAGGGACACTTCACTGTTTTATAACAATAAGTAAGGTCTCTAACCTGCTTTTTGTAAAGTGTCTCGAGATAACACTAAAAATTGATTGATTGCTTTACACATGAAGCTTAGTTAACTCTTCATCTTGGAAACGGTAGTATGACCTAACATCCAAGGAGATGTCCCAACCTGCCTTCGATTCAATATTATCGATGGACTGATGAAATTACACGACTTTGGAATAACTCTTGAAATTAAAAGAGGCAAGTGTCGATATTTTTTCTTACCAATTTTGCGGACAGCTTTGCAGTAGGCCAAGTTGTCTGTGATGACCTTTCCCAGCTCAGGAAAGTGCCATCCATACCACTCCCTGCAGCGCATGATGTAGTTGTTGAGCTCCTTATCCAGATCATCCAAAAGAGCTGAAGAGACAAGGGCAAATACATTTATTTCACACTGCATGTTCAACACACAGGACATGGTAGCCATCACTTCAGTTTAACAGCTCCATCAAGTCTTTTCAATTTAATGTCATTTTATAGGCAATAATGTCAATATAGACAGAAAAACAATGGTTACTTTAAAGATGGATATATATGGGAGAAAAAACAACTTACAGATGGCTTGCACAATCATTGTGTCCACTTTGTCCGGACTGAACTTCAGTTTGTAACGGGATAAACTGGAGAACACAGAGAAAACGTGTTTATTGGAGATCTTAAACATCAAGTCGTCTAACTTTCTCTATTCCTTTAAGAGATTGCTGCCTCAGCGGTAGTGACGAATGCTGAGGAAAATCTACAGGAAGTTTCAGACAGCAAGTGTAATCATAGGCAGCATGTATGTTGACTGTATTCACCACTGGATTTGTGTGCTTACTAACCTGTGAGCCAACCCAAGAGACATCGCACTGAGCTCCCTGGGAGGAAGTCCAGTGATGAGGCTCTCCATCTGACTCCTGATGCATCTCATCAGTTCAGCAACAGCAGGGCTGTGGATGCAGTTTAGGTCCAGCTTTTCCTGAAATCCCCAGGAAGTTAGAATGATATATCGTGTATGTGAAGCTTTCTTTATGAATGACAATGCGGTTAATGACACTTACTTTGATAACTCCACCAAGCTTCAAATCACTGATGGCCAGCTGCTCATGGGCCTCCTTGGCAACAACTTTCTTGAGCACTTTCTTCAAACTCTTGCCAATTTTTCCCTCCACAAGGGCCGTGGCAGCTGAGGGATAGAACATTGCATTTAATACACTCTGCAGAAACGGACCCAGACAACAGTCAACCTTACATGCCTGTGGGGGAATTGTTGGGAACATAAAATCCAATCATGTGTGACATTTGATATGTTCAAGCAAAAAAAAAATAGGCCTAAAACTTTTCTTGCCAACTTAACTACTAGGGGATGCCTCATGTTTTTTTCCCAGACACAGAAATACATCAGAGACAGCATATCTGACATGCACAAGAGTGCAGAAAACATAGAATTACCTGCTAGGGCCTCAGTTGTATCCACAAACTTCTCAAAGTGCTTCAGCTTTACACTAAAAGGGAACAAAAACAGTCAATCAATCAATGACATCTTGCTGGTTGCAACTGTTACACCAGCTCTGAGCCGTGGCACTTCACATCAACACTTACACTTTATTTGCTTTTTCAGGAGTTTCAAACTCCTTGTGCAGGTTGTCTACCTGTTGCAGCTTGGATTCATCAAGGACCTGAAATACAATTGAAATATATAAGCATGTTGTCACTAATCAAAAGGCAATATCGGCATTTAAATGTTTATATGTATAAGATAGTGTCTCTTATCATATGAGTTACATGCAGGCGAAATTCTAATCATAAATAAATAATCAGTTAGTTCATTTCTAATGAGCACATGTAAGGCGAGGCGCTTAATGTTGCCTCAACATGCACACGTGGTTATAAGGCCTTCACTATGCTAACAGTGTTAGCTTGGGCTCGAACAATGTCACTCGTGTGTAGACAGAAGTGTTACATTAAACTTTCACATGCAGATACGAGTTTAAACATCTATCTTTTAAATCATGTTCAATGCCAGTTATCTCAAACTTAACCCACACGAACTTTGGGTAAATTGTTGCAAAGCTAACCTAAGCTAACTCAAAAGATAGAAGCGTAACTCTTCATTAATCTGTAAGTGACAGGAAACAAAACCCAGATACATACTTTGAAAATTGCATATCCAGCCGCGGTCTCAAATAAAACGAGCATTTTGGCGGTGACTCAGTTAATATTAAGACTTTGTGCGCTCTCTAACAGAGAGCCTGAAGGTTTTCCTCACAGTCACCACGCTGCTCCTGCTCTGAGTGAAGCACATGCGGTGAGAGAGAGACCCAGGAAACTCCTGGGTTGCCAGGTCGAGTAATACCCTCTTCTATCAGACGTCACATTTGAGATGTACTTAAAACACTCAAAACATGTTTCAGTTTGATGAATGATGAATTTGGCTGCCATATTACTACCTCAATTAAATATTTTTAGATTGCGAATATATCTTTATTTATTCAGAAAGTCAAAAATAAATCGGTAAGTGATAGATAGATAGATAGATAGATAGATAGATAGATAGATAGATAGATACTTTATTGATCCAGAGGGAAATTCAAAGCATCCAGTAGCAGGTTACAAAGACATGACATGAAACATTTGTTACAAATTAAACCACAAAACCGACGCCCCCCCCCCCATACATATATATTAACCTGAAAAAGATAAATTAAAAATAAAATGAAATAACAAAAGTGTATATAGACTTATTATAGACTTACTTAATGACGTATTTTTTTTTCTAAAGCCTATTAAGCATCGTATAACCATAGGCTGTAAATATTAAGCCAATAACCTTATCCACACTTCCCTTAAATTGATTATAAATTCCACATGGGTGTTTGTCCTCAACCTGGCAACCCAAAAAGGAGCGCTTCATAAATCTCGCGAGAAGATGTGGTACCATGTGGTACATGTGCCAGTTTTTAAATAGTTTTTGTATAATTAAAGATAATGCATAGTTGTGAATGCACTTTATGCGTGGAATTTGAAACTAGGATAACTAATTAATCACCGCTATTGTCATTTTCAGGCTCCACTCCAGTCATTTATTTCTCTTTCCTGTTCTCGCGGAAGTGACGAACAACCCACCTAAGATCAAAACATGCACATGTGAGAGTTGCGTGGTGAGAAACACACATCTATTTCAGAAAGACTTCACTGTCGACGTGAAGAGAGAGCTTCAGCTTTCGGTATGAATGAGGCTGGACATTATCCTCCGCCGGACTTCGGCTGTCCCCCTGCAAACTCTATCCAGCCGTTCCAGCACCAACAGCAGCCCCGCAACAGCAGCTTCCACCCCGGCATGTGGAGCTGGTCCGAGACGCCTGCTGAGCCCAGCTGGGACCATAGCGGCCAGGCCGGATGGAATCACTGGGGAGCGGGAGGGTTTGGCTCCCAATCAGGCCGGGGGACCTTTGGACCCAACCGTCCATACGGTGAGTAACCTTTAAATTAGTTTATTAATATTCATCCAAACCAATCAATCATCCATAAGGGGATAGGCCTCCGTAATACACCTCTACCTTCATAGTGACCTGACCTATAGTTTCAAATAATATAACAGCATCATAAAAGATCAGGGAACTTATTTCTGTATGTCTTTATCACATTGCCATCTAACTCAGTCTGGTCTTCAGGTCAAAACCATGGTCGTGAATGGCAACAAGGTGGACATAGAGGTGGAAGACAGAACTATGGAGGTCCTCACAATCATGGGAAAAAGGTAACTATTAGTTAAACATGTAAACTGCACTCTTTTTTTAAAATCCTAAAACTGCATTAAGTGAACAGATTTTTCTATAACACTAAGCAGAAGAATAAGAAGGAACCAGAGTATTCCCACTTCTGTGACACCTGTGATCGTGGCTTCAAAATCCAGGAAAAGTATGATGAACATGTTTCACAACACGTCAAGGTAATTTCACACGTGTTTTATTTAAAAAAAAAATAAAAAAAAGGTTAATACAATGTTTTGAAATCAGTATGCGATAATTACTGATTGCTTCAATCAATCTGTCCCAAAGTGTTCTGTGCCCGACTGCAGCTTCATGGCTCATGAAAAAATCGTCAGCATCCACTGGAAGAATGTAGGTCACACAAGTTCATGTGCTTCAGAGGCTTTCTGGCTCTCAATACTTTTCTTTGCTCATGTTAGTCTTTTTATATTCTGTCTGTAGAACCACGCGCCAGGAGCTAAAAGAATCAAGCTGGACACACCAGATGAGATCGCAAAATGGAGAGAGGAGAGACGCAAGTCAGTATTTAGAACAGATTGTTGATTTCTGAACTATTTAAAATTAATACATATTATATTTTGTCTAATTCCAATCAGCAAAATGTAATGATGTTTTCATTTTTCAACTGTTTTCCAGAAACTATCCAACACTTGAGAATATGGAACAGAAGAGAAAAGTGATGGTGGCGCGGGAGGAGACAGGAGCAGTATTAGACACAGCTCAGTTTGGGTAAAAGAACACATTTGTGACTTTTTTCTGTCTTTTTTTTTTGTTTGTAACTATATACATCTATATTTTTCTAGCATTTGCTTTGGAATATGGAAGAAGTGTTTCTCATCTTGATCCAGGCTTTAATGTTTTATTCCCAGACGAATGAGAGGACGAGGAAGGGGTCGGGGTCGTGGTTGGGGTAACAGAGGGTACCATGGGCGACACAACAGAGGCCCTCACCCATCAGACAGCAGTGCTACAGAGAGACCTCCACCCCTTACCCAGCCTGGAAGGGAAGGGGATCCACTGGGAGCACTGGCCAATTGTGACCATGGTTAGTGACTAATCAATGTCAAGTTTGTATTTAAACCCCCTGTGAGGAGTTTTTTTTACTGGTTATTAAAATAGACTGAAAGGAGGACTGACGTCACTAAGGCTGCATCCACACTGCAAGCCTTAATGCTCAATTCAGATTTTTTTGCTTTGATCAGAATATTTCTTGTTTGGCTGTTCACATTACTTTTCAAATGTGATCTGTATTAGACTCCAGTGGAAATCCACATATGATCGTGGCCCAAATCTCACTTGAAAAAATCAAGAGTCCAGACTTGTGGTGTTCCCATTCTCAGAAAATAAAATCAGATCTGAGTCACTTAGTGTGAATGTGACCTATTAAAGCAAATAAGACCATCAAGGACAAGACTGATTTTTCTGTCTAGTTATTTTTGATGCCTGAAATCAATGCCGTGGGGTAGGTGTCAGAACAGGCCTTTGTCTTTTTTCCTTTTTTTTATTTTTTTTGTTTTACTTCTTCCATGGAAAACATTCTTGATAAGAAGTGGTACAACAGACTTGCAAAAGAAAGCAGAAATACTTTCTTGTTACAAAATCCCTCCTTGTACTTGTACAGCATATACAGGACAATATTAATCAAAGACAGAATAGGTACTGCTTTGTCCACAGGGGGGGCGCCAAAAGTGGCACAAGCTAAACGTGCCTTACAGGAGCATTATCAAACATATCATTTGTATAATATTTACATTTCCGCCTGTGCTTCCAGATTCTGACAAAGACGACCCAGCTGCTGAGTTAAGGTCTGGCAACCTGATTGTGGCCCCTAAGCAGATGAGCTCAGCTCTGGGATCCCTGATAGCCAACTACGGTTCCCAGACTGAGAGCGAAAGTGATGAAGAACCAGAGGGTGAGCTTGACACCATCCTCAAGTGGCCACAGAATACAATGTGTAGCTTAGGTGGCTCAACATCTAGTTATGATACCAGTTATGATGGTTATGATCAGTATGATGTTTGGGAGTGCCAATAACTGCATTAACACGTCTGTAGTGATGAGTATTTATCTTTATCCAAGATAAAGCCTTCTGTTACTTGCTTTATGTGTTATCATGGTTATCTTTTTTGTTGTTTCAGCCACCCCTATTCAGAGAGCCAGGGACCTTGTGCAAGAAAACAAGGTTCTCCTAAACACAATAACACCGAACTCCCATGACAGAGCGCCCTCAAGAAGCCAGGAAACAGAAACTGAAAAAGTCTCCCAGTCTGACCGTGCCAATTACACACCACACAATAGAAGAGGTAGAGGGGGAAGAGGAGGCAGGGGAGGAAGGGGCGGTAGAGGAGGACACCAAGACACACCACAGATGCGTCGTGCTACTCTACTTGAGATGGTATGAAGACATCTGAGATTATCCAGAAATATTGAAATCAAAAGGATAAAATGTGTATGGTAGAAATGATCAACCCTTTCTCTTTTTTTTTTTTTTCTCCACTCTGTTTAGTTACTGGCCCCAGATATCCGTCACGAGAGGAATGTCCTCCTGCAGTGTGTGCGCTACGTTGTCCGTAACAACTTCTTTGGCCTGGAAAGTAAAAAGAGGCAGGGGGAGATAAAAGACGAAGCAGCCGCCGCTATCCCAGATGGAGAACAAAAGCGGAGGAAAGTAAATACATCAGAGGATGTCTTGGCTGCCTCTCCGATTTGTAGAGAGAAAAGTTCCGCAAAAGTTACTCATCAGGAGTATTTAGAAACAAGTAACACGTGGCCACAAAACATTCAGGACCAGGGTTTGCAGAGCGATCAAGTATGTACAGAACCATCCAAGGATTATGAAGAAGCAGCAGCAGCGAGTTCTGAGAGGACTGCAGAGGATTTCATCCAAAATGCTGAAGAGACAACCACAAAAGACTGCCACAGCATGAATGTTTCAACCACAGATAAAACCTCAACTACCTCTTATATTTATGATGATGAGATATGGGAGAGCCCTGGTGCTGTTATGTGAAAGTCAAGTATTTGACTAAAACAGATTTTCTTTAAATTTGGAAGTTTTTTTTATTTTGCATTTATTGGATAGGAGAGCGACCACAAACGTTTGGAGGAGAGAGTGGGGGGGTGACATGCAGCAAAGGGGCCAAGGTCGGATTCAAACCAACGGGCGCTGCTTATGAGGACTATAGCCTCTGTACATGGGGCGTGCGACAGGACCGCTAGGCTGTCCAGCGCCCCATTTTCCTTATTTAGATGATAACATTTTCACATTTTTGTCCTTTTTTGCAAGGACTCTTATTTTTTTTGTGATGTTAGTTTTACTTACAACAATGTATTTCCAGCTATATTTTTGTATTATGTACTTTGTACTGAGGAAAGACATTATTCTTGTTGTATAAATCATCAACCCTAATGACTGCAATTTTGCCTTTTGTAGAAGTTGTTTACTTTTCAAGCCGAAGTAGTAACGTGGATGAAAACGTTGGATGAGTGGTCAGAAGAAGAGGATGTTTCAGCTAAACCCAGCACAGAAATTGTTGCCTTTTCTATGATCCAAGAAACAGAATCCTCTTTACTGTTCGAAGGCGAAGAGGAGGCAGAAGAGTGGATAGAAGAAGAGGATGACTCAGAGGACTGGTCAGAAGTAGAGGCTGCAGAACAGCGGCTACAAAACAAGTTGGAAGAGTGGTTAGAAGAAGACTCAGGACTGGTCAGAAGTGGAGGCTGCAAAACAATGTCTACACGAAGAGTTTGAAGAGTCAGAAGATAAATATCAGAATTTACTTTTTTGGTAAGAGAATTGCTTCTGTGTTATCAATAGTGAAGCAAGCAACACCTAAAATGAGTGCACATTTTCCTTCCTTTTGGGTTTAGCCCGAGTGCTCCGGTTTTTCCCATATTAAAATACAATTAAAAGTGAAATGATTTGTATGTTTCATTATGTTTTCTTTAAAGTTTATATTTGCACCCACGTTTATGTCTTTAATAGGCAATCAGCATTATAATGAAGTATTACTGAAAAATGTTCCTCCATAGGATCTTAGACTATAGCAGGCTTTCCAAACCTTGGGTTCCTAACCCCATGTGGGGTCGCATGGGATTCAAATGGAGTTGCCTGAAATTTGTATTTATAAAAAAATAAAATTCAAAACCTATCTGCAGTATGTTGATTTAAAGTATGTTTAACAATTTGTGTACATGCTATAGCTTGGCTAAATGTTGCTTAGTGATGTGCTCATGGATTAATGTTGGGTCTTTGAAACATATAGCCTAAACAAAAATAAGGTATTTTACCTGCTCTTTTGTGAAGTGTATTTGTTATAAATGGGCGCTAAGAAAATAAAGATTGATTGATAGGCTGCATCATTAGGCCTACATTTAAAGAAAGACACTGCAAAAGAGGCGGAGATAGGCAGGGAAACTGCATATCAGTGATAAAACATTAGACTATCTTGACACTAAGTGTATGAAAAAACAAGAAGAATCCAAAAAAAAAAGTGTTTTGAATTTTTATTTTCCTTTTTTCAAAGCTTTACGGTTCAAGTGGAGCTTCACCGCCCGCCTGAACTAACCAGGTTTCTAAAACGAGCGCACCAACCGCGGGCGTCTCCTAGCAACCACCTGAGCTGTCAACGTCTGTTTAGTATCCAACATTTGCGGTGGCAACGGTAAAGTTGACTATCGGTATGCGACTCAGCCAGCGGACTAAATTGCAGGATAAACTGTTTTAAATGCAGGTTAAAGCGACGAAACTTAAACACTTGAATACCCCTGTAAACAAGCAGTAAGTATAAAGTTATAACATGGCTGAAATTTGTATTCGAGTCGACCCGCCGTCCGTCGAGTTCAGAGATGTTGAAGTCGGGGGAGTTTACAGGACGACATTAAGGGCGACAAATGTTGGGAAAACTTTGAAGAAAATAGTGATGGAAATGCCCAAATCTAAGGTAATGGGAACTGTTAAGAATAATAAGAATGTGAAATGAATGAAGAAATTGCTTTAGATAACCTAAAGTCATTTTTGTAACAAAGTTAACGCTAGCTGTTTGCTAATAGGTAATTAGCATACTAGCGTCTCTCTTTATACGTGTATGGAAATTGTTGGTTTGATGCTAACCAGTTCATAAATGTTATCTATCTATCTGTCTACCTATCTCTGTCTGTATTTACTTTGTTTCATAGTGTAGGGTTATAGCAGGGGTGTCCAAAGTGCGGTCCGAGGGCCATATGCGGCCCTTGAGGGGACTTTTTGCGGCCCGTTACTTCAAATGAAGAATCAGAAGATTTTGATTAAGATTGGCACATTATCTTATTTTTCTTTTTCATGTTAACAAGGGCTGAACAATATTCCTAAAATAGAAAATGTTTAGTTACATGTATGTTGTTGTTGTTTTTAAATCTACAGCTTTTACTATTTTCCACATTTTTTTGTAAACTATGAAAAAAAACGTATGCAAAGTTTTTGCAAACAAGCGGACTGTTGTTTAACCATTTAATGACCTGAGCTAAATGCAGAAAGCTTTTCCAATAACATGAACCACCTTACAGGCTTGATTCTGAGAAAAAAACTAATAAAGTAGAACGAAGAAATGAAAATATTTGATTTCCTTTTATTAAAGGGTTTCTTTAGCGAGCCTTTTGATTCTGATCTACAAAGCCTTACTATTTTTTCAACTATATTTTAAAAAACAAAACCTGTGGCCAGCGAGCGATTCTAACATGACAATTTTGGCCCGTAAGAAAAAAAGTTTGGACACCGGGTTCTAGTATAAGTGTTTCTAAAGAGTTTTCTCTTCTAATCTTAGTGCAAATATTGTAATAATATAGAGTAAGATGCATATCTATCTCTTTTAATGTTTTTTCTCACCCTTTTTGCTATTTAAATCAAAAGGTAAAAACAAAGTGATCTGTACTGTGCATATGTCTGATATTGGCACTCCTTTGTCATGTTATCTCTTCTTTTTTAACCTGCAGTTGTTCAGGTTCACAGCATCTGGCTCAGCAGAGGCAGTGGCCCCGGGTCTGTCTGTAAGCGGGTTACTGGAGTTCACTCCTAGGGAAGAGAAGGAGGTCAGAGACAATCTTCTGATTCATGTAAATGATGTGGAGACCATTAAAATCCCAGTGATGGGGTAAGTAGGCAAAACAAATGCTAACACATGATATCTAGCTGAGATCTTAAGGATGAATACGTTTCACACTTTCTGCGGTATAGATGGTCCTGAATGTTACACATACATCTCCATAAATGTTTTTACTCATCAACCTCATTGTTTTTCTGTGTTTCTTTAGGTTTCCTAGGGTTTGTTCCCTTATAATGGACCCATTATTAGACTTTGGTTGTATTGTTGCCAGCAGTGAGGTGATCAGCAAACACCACCTTATAACCAATCAGGGATCAGAACCAGGTAAATCAAGACTCTCCAGCTTTCTCACTAAAATTTCTGAAATTGTTGGGGTGGGGTTGGCCAACCCAGTGCAAACAGTGTGTTTTTCCTGCAAGTTATGATGCAGCTTCATACTCTTTTCTTAGAAACATGTTTGAGTTAGCAGGTTTGAAAATTGCTGTAGACATCTATCTTATTGCAAATTACACATACCACTGTCTTTCTCTGTGAAATAAGATCATGGTGCTCCACATTTATTTCAAACTGGTTTTGTAATGTTATCAAATAAAGGATGCTGTGCTACTCATTTAACTGTGAAAACTTAAGGTGCATTATGTAATTTTACCTAATGAGAATAAGCATAATGTATATTTATGTGCATGTGCATGTGTGTTTACATTTAAGGATTGTTCCAGGTTCAGTACAATGGACACCCTTCACTCAGAATTTCTCCCTGTACTGGAGTCATAGCAGCTTGTGACACTCAATGGCTTGAAGTGGAACTGCGAACAAATGAACCCAGGCAGATTGATGAAATGGCTCTGTAAGATACACTTCATAGAATTCTGAAAAACAAATATCATGCACTGACTGTATTGGCCACTAATTGCAAAGTCACATGTTTTGCCTTAAATTTAGTAGAAGCTTGCAAAAATAGCAAATAATATATCTGTGGGTCAAGGAGAAAATAGAACCTTGTACTTTTAAAGTAATGGCAGGGGTGAATAAGTGCTAGCTGTTACATTTCTAAATTTACATGTCAATTAAAAACTAAAAAAGAAAGAAAAAAAAGTACCTGATCCTCACCCTCTTTCTTTCCCAGGGTCAAACTCCAGAATCAATCTACTGTAGTTCTGAGAATCAGAGCTGAGGTAGTGGACCAGCGCCTTGAGGTCTTTGACATGCAGGTAATTCAGAAGTTTGTGTACAATTCACATTTTCTTACAGAAAAGAAAAAACTGTTAACTTCTTTACTTACTACTAAGTTCAAATTTTGCCATATTTAATGGTGGCCATGCAAATATGTTAGTGCTTATTTCTGTAATCCAATGCTGTTTTACAGGGGGCTCCACTGTCCTGTCTCTGGTTTGGACCTGTGTACTTTGGAACGTCTCGCTTGGAGAATGTGGTTCTAAGAAACAATGCACCCCAGGCTTGTAGCTGGGTCTGCCTGCTCCAGAATACTGCTGCTGGGACTGAGGTGGTGAGTAATGCCCTCAGAGAGAGTAGGTGTAGCTGGCTTGTCTGCACAGCGGAAATGTAGATAGATATGTTAGTTTTAAGGAAAGTACAAGGTAAAATATTGACTGGTCTGCACTCTTCAGGTTGTGGAAATAGAATTCACATTGACCATTGAGGCTAAAGCCTAAATTCCACCAGATGTGTGTTCGGTCCGTCTCCGCTCCGTTGTGGCAGCTGAGCGTGTGCTGCCACTGGCTCGGCTGCGCTGTGTCCCAGCACCGTCGAAGCTCCAGCAGTTCGGAGCCCTCCGTACCAGATTCGCAAGGCTACCAATTTTGCCGTATGCCGGAGCACGGTGCATCAATTTACCAGAGAAAAGTTCGAGCAGGACGGGAAGTCAGACACGCAAACAACATTAAAACATTCAGTTTATTTTCAGACTAAAACTCAGTTTTGACGGCTCAGAACAATGACGGTATATGTGTTTGTTTATGTGTTTTAAATGGTTTTATACCACATTATTCGTATTATCTTGCGCGGTTGCAAGTTAATCTTTAAAATTACTGCAGGAATTCCTTTGTCTCGGCACTCCAGCTGTCTGGCTGTACTCTCCGTGCGCAGCCTGTGGGTGTTGACGGACGAGGGTGCACAGAGCCGTAATGGACTGGAGCGGACACACAATGCACACGTATCTGGTGGAAGTTCTGGGTAAGAGTGGGATGAATTTGTAGGGAGCAGACCTCCAGAAGAGTACAGACGCCGTCCTGCTGGAAGGAATGAAGAGATGCAGCCCAGCCACACAGGATATCTCTCAGGTCTTGGTGTGTGTCCCTAAACACGGTCAACTGGGACCGTACGACCAAACCACTGTGACTGTACAGTTCAACCCCATCTGCAAGAGGTAACTTGTCTTTAAATGGTTTTTAATTTGTCTGAAATCCACATAAATAACAAAAAACTTTAAAAAAAAAAGTTTATAGGTGAATATGAGGATAAAAAAAGAGTTACGACCCATCAGGGAATCAAACCCTGGTCTTCCGCTCACTGGTGGGGATACTCACCACTACACTAACCAGGAGCAGGTTGTATTGATAAGGGTCTGTTCTGCATTATGTCAACCACCACAAAAAAATGCCTTTGTGTTTTAGTAAAACTGACGAGAAGACGAAGGATTACTCAGCCAGCCGGCAAGACTACTGCCTTTTCTTGCTGTTTGAGTCAGTGGGAAGCAGGCATGGCTTCACTCACCATTATGGTAATGCTGTATTCCCCACACATAGACGATACCTGGGCTGGCCGCCCAAGTATATTTTGGACCTGTATTAATTAAATGTTTAATTTATTCATAAAGTTGCTGCGTGCATGAGAGAGCGAGAGATAGAGCGGGGGGAGAGAGAGAGTTCACGAGAGAGTGCAAGGTGCAGCTGCTTGCTGCTGATGCTGTGCTGAATTCATATAAATAACGGAATATCGAGTGGAACTTTTCAAATGCGAGGCAGACTCCTTGTGCTTGTGCGAGCATGCGTGGATAAATTCTGCAAATTAAAGTTGTTTGTTGAAAAAACAAAATTAATTTAGAAGGAAAAACACATTTGATATAAATACAAACCTAATATTAAAATATACCTAAGATAAGAGTAAAAAAAAAGTATGTTGATCTCCCGCAACCCCTCTGCGAACTCCACCGCCCAGGTATCGCGTCATTTTGTGGGAAACACTGTAATCACAACACACTCTTGATGGGAAACACAAAACATCCTATAGAAATGCTCTGAACTGTTTCAAGTCAGCAGTTAGGTTCTTGTCACTTTCAGTGCAGCTTATTTATAGCAGATTCCCCGGAAACACTGGATTAACTTTTTCTCTGTCTCTTTAGCTAACAGCAGTGTGGAGCTGGCAGTGACAGGCTCTGGACTGCCTGTGTCTCTGGTACCAAGTCCCTCTCAAAGATTGGATTTTCTCACCTGTGTGATGGGTCGACGCGTTGACCTGTTGTGTGTCCTGAAAAACCTCTGCCCTCAACTTCCTGTAACTTTCCGCTTCCGCAAGATAGCTCATTTCACTGCCAAGCCCTCCTCTGGCACAATCCCCCCTGGGCAGTGCCAGGTAAGAATGGGATTGATTCAGTTAAGTATTTATGAAGGCCAAATGGAGGTGTGAATGTTGCCCCATTTTTTTTCTCTGTTGTGTTCCTCAGGATGTAGTTTTGTCTTTCACTGCAAGACAGCAAGGGATCTTCCAGTTGTTACAGAAACTGGATGTCTTAGGTCATGTTGTTCAGAGGGGAAGTAACAACACCGAAGATGTACCTGGACTTGAGCTTTGCAGCTTCCACACCATTACCCTTCACCTATCTGCTGTCTGCTGCAGTGAGACCACACACCCTGGGCCTAAGCTTAATCCTGGTAAATGTTACAGGAAGAATCTTAACAATTTGTATATCTCGTTACACTTAGCTCTCCTAACTTGCCCCAAGTTGGTTGGAAAAGCTTTTAAAACAACTCCTAGTTTAGAAAATACTCATTATTTTCCCATACTAGCTGGCCACTGTAGTTTTAGCAACTGCTTCTTTCACAGAAGGGGAAAGGTACATTTGTTATGGACAATTATTTTTTTTGCTCTAGATGAATCCACATATCGTGCCCTAATGAGTATTTGGAGTTCAGTTTATTTGGGTTTGATTGCCGACCAGTAAAAACGATTTATACAGTGATGTGTTTTTAACTACAAGATGTACTTGACTTGGATGTGTACACGATCATCCAAATCATCATAATACAATAATTTTACTGATAGGTCTTTCATGGGCAATGTTGGAGTAAAATCTGATTTAAAATGTCACAATACTTTTCCCTTAATCAGATGATTTGAGAGATGGAACTGTCATGCTCTAATTGGTTGTTTTGCAGGCATCACTCCAGCAGTAACCAATCCAACCGGATCAAGGCCTCACATTAGATCCAGCGAACTGGCTCGCTGCAGAGAAATGGCACATGCTGCTGTACTTAACGCTGACAAAACGCGACTTCACATACAACGAACTGAAAAGAAGCAGAACAAAGAAGTAGAGGAGGAGATCCTAGCTTTTCCTAATGACAGAGCAACCAGCATCAGGCCTACTTCTGCACATAGACAGTACAGGTAGAGGTCATGGAATCACTTGTCTACTTGTCCGCTTCTCTGTGTTGTGATTTGTTATGTTTTTTCACAACACATACTTGGAAATGTTATATATTTATGTCATACTTGGGGAAGTAAATATTTATAAAAAAAACAAAAACTGTGGAGCCTATAATCATAAATGGATTTTGCAGGATACGTTGCTGTGTCTTCAAGTAGATTTTACAAAACGCTCTCATCATGTCTTCATTTTTCTCAGGACCATCTTCACAAACTATTCTTTTACTGACAAAGAAGAAGAGCAGCGACAGCGGCATAGACAGATTTACAAAGACTTCCTCAAACAGTTAAGACAAATGCGCCTGGAGAAGATCAAGGAAAGGTAGGCTTGCTTATGAATATTTTGATTCCTGTCCTGACGGCCTATTGCAAGATTTTTTCCCCAGCATCATACAGCTCAACATTAAGTAGTGTTGTTTATTTTGATGTTAGACAGCAGGAGAAAGTAGAGGATGATGTGGATATTGGGATGGTTCCTGCTCAAGGGCTTGTTCCCCCTACACTCCACCTCCACGACCTGGAGATGAATAAGATCTCGAAGATGAAGTACATTTATTCTTCCCCAGAAACCAAAGGCAGCTGCCCAAAATACATAACATCCAAAACATGGCACTTCAACAGCCAGGTCAGACCAAATAATAACCAAACAATGATCTTTTTATTTATTAAAATTTTAACAGATCACTTGATATAGTTGTGTTTCATCCTTTTTAGGTTTCAGACATAATTCATGTAATTCCCTCTACCAGCCAGGAGGTGGCAGACTGCAACAGGACTCTGACGGCTCAGGAGCTCTACCAAGTTGAGATAGGTAAGAGTTTCATGCAGAGGTGCCAGAGACAGATTACAAAGTGGGAGAAGAGGCATAACTAATTCTTCTTTTTTTTAAAAGTACATTTACAAGATGTTTAACAGCAGCTTAGTGCAGTGGAATAGATTTCATGTTAAAAGTGTGGTTAAAATGGGGCGCTGGTGGCGCAGTGGTTAGTGCGCGCGCTCCATGTATGGAGGCTGTAGCCTCAAGCGGGCGGCCCAGGCTCACATCCCACCCATGGCTTCCCTCCAGCATGCCATTCCCCATTCTCTTCCTGATTTCCGACCCTATCCACTGTCCTATCTCTCAATTAAAGGCATAAAAAAAGCCCAAAAATAAATATTAAAAAAAAATAGTGGGGTTAAAATCTGTCTTGTTCCTCATTAGGTCCATTGTTGGTGGACTTCGGCGAGGTGTGTGCTCAGTCAGTGTGCGTTGAGAAGCTGAAGCTAATCAATCATCTGTCAGTGTTTGTTTGGATTCAGCTGGAGCTGGACTGCCCTGAGCTGCAGGGCTCCTCACCCCTGTCCCATGTCCTGCCACCCCACTCCCACAACATCTTACCTCTGACATTTCAGAGCAACAACCTTGGTTCTTTCTACAGGTTGGTTTGGGAAGCAGCTAGAAACATTTAAAAAGCATAAAAATCAAGTTTTAAACAGGTTTTTTTTTTCCAGACCTGTATCTTACTCTGTGAACAAGAAACACCCCGGTCAGATACTAGTCCAGGCCCAGGTTGTTCCTGTGGATTTGGAGCTGTCAACCACCCTGCTGGTCCTCTGCCCAACCCCAAATCTTCTTGCTCAATCAGGATACAGGAGCTTGGTTACCCTTCGAAACAAGCGTAACCACCCTGCAGCCTTCACATGGAAACCAATAGTCACAGATAGTGGCATCTTGTTCTCCATCAGACCTGCAACAGGTGCCAAAAGTGCAGTCTCCCTCTCTGATGTGTTTGCCTTTAAGAAGCTTCTCTGGTAAAATGTAATAAATGGATTTAACTGTTTGAATTTGAGCTAACTAATGTCCCTCCCTCCTTCAGGCACAGTGGAGCCATACAGGGAACTGGACTGTGAGGTGGTGTGGCATCCATCCTTCTCCTCCCCTGCTGAAGGAGACTTTGCTCTGTGTGTCCATGAGGGCAATACACAACATCTGCACTGTGTCACCAAGGTTAGGTTCAACAAAGATTAAGAGAAGAATAGCTGTGGTCAGCTTGGATTTATGGAGGCTAAAATTTATCTAATAGTGAGAAGTTTTACAGCGCAGCCACTTTTAAACTTAGCACTGTACTTTAAGCCACTCATACAGAATCTATCTGGATCAAGGGTTTGCAACTTTGGGATGTTGGATAAAGGAGAGAGCTAGAATACACCTTCAGGCTGGCATTAATAAACCCTCAGGACTACTGCTTGTTTGTTGGACAGACAGGAGACAACAGAGGGGATTTTGGGCTGTATCAATGATATCTTTTCTTGTGACTAAAACATATTTGATTTTTGGCAGACAGCACTATCCGATCATTGGAAACCATCGATTTATGTCCTCAGTATATTCCCAACCCTCATAACTTCACTAGAACGTAAACAATGTGACAGTTTTCAACCCCCCTAACCTGTGGAGTTGTCAGACAGACAATCTTCTTTAAAATAACTGCAACAAATGGTTGATCAGCTAGGATTAATGAAGACTACAATTGATTTAAATAGAGAGAAATGGAAATCAAGTTTTTAAACAGTAACAGGGATGTGCTCTGTGTTTTGGATCCATTTAAATGTTTTATGCTGTGTACACTTTTGAATAACAGCCAAACATAATTGATGGGAATTCTCTTTGAGATCACTCAGCAAAGCTGTAATAATGTTTAAAAGCAAAAGAGATTTTCAACAATCTAAAATGTGATTTATAAAGGAAATGAAATGACTGGTCAAATAGAAAGAGCCTATTTGTTTTTCCCCAAAGTTCAACAATCATATAGGGCAAAATCCATCACAGAGGCATGTATTGATTCCTCCTCTGACAGCAGCCTCAGTAGACCAGAACACAGCAACAAGCAGTGTTGTGTTAAAAGTTAGCTTTGTGACTTTTATGTTTTTTTCAATGAAAAATCTCTCCCGCTTACTTGCAGTTGTGTGTCATCATCTGTAGATTGCTCTCTTCACTGAGTCATACACATGCAGCAAATACATGTGCTCTGGGGGCTGTCAAAAGCTGTTGTGTAAAATGTGGGAAATCGGTGACTAGATTGGAATTAGACAAGGCAGGTTTGGGAAGAGGGGGTGGTGTAGAAATGTAGAACCAACTATTATGGATAAAATATACCTGGAGAATGACATAAAACACCAAGGATATTTGTAGTTTTTATACCTGTGTTTCTCTCAGGTTGGAAGCACAAGTGTCCAGCTGGCAGAGAAACGGGTCTCATTTGGATCAGTGCCCCTAAACATGCCTTCCATCAGAACTGCAGTCTTCCACAACACAGGGCAGAACCATGCTTACTACCAGGTGCCCACACACAAACACACATATGCAGATACTTGCTTTGAGCATTCAAACTTGTGCAAACCAAATAGGAAACACAGTTAACCTCTCTGCTGCTTGCTTTTGTTTGTATGAGGCAGGTGCTGGATGTTTGCCCTCTGCCAGGCATGATGGTGAGTCCTTCAGAGGGTGTGGTGCCAAGCGGGGGGCAGGCTACTCTCAAGATCCACTTCAACCCTGACTCTGTCTTCAAGTTTGACACAAGAGTGGAAGTAAGAGAGAGAAAGAAGAGGAGATGATGATTTATCTTTGTGTTGGTAAAATGGTAAAATAGAGGAGAGGAATTTCCATAAATATGCTTGTGTTTTGTCTGTTACAGATAGCTCTGAGGAACATGAAATCCATCGAGCTTAGAGTGGGCGGATCAGTGGAGCCTCCAAATGTAGACATCAGTGTGGTGAGTTGTGTGTGTGTGTGTGTGTGTGTGTGTGTGTGTGTGTGTGTGTGTGTGTGTGTGTGTGTGTGTGTGTGTGTTATGCACAGTTTTCTTTAGGTCTGACAAACAACAGCAATAAAAATGGCTAGAAAGAAGAAAGAGATGGCATACAATCATGTAGCATTTCCTTCTCATAAAAGGATGTATTAACTCCTTTATTACAGGCTTAAGCCTACAGCGGACATTACTGTAAATGTAATTGCAAAAATGAACATTTATCTTCCAACATCAGCAAGCAAAAGACGAATCTATTCAATATATCTCAATCTAGCTACTGGAGATGTATCTCATGACTGGAGCGTATTAAACTTTCTTCAAGAGGAAAAAGAACTTAGATCTCCCAAAAAAAAGAAAAAAGTGCAACTCCTGAATATTTATCAATGGTAGTCTCATCAGAGATTGTGAGAGACATAATTAATGCAACCAGAGAATGTTAAACAAATCAAATTAATTTGACATTTATGAGTTTTATGGACAAGAAGTTTCACAAAAGCTTAATGCATTGCTCTGGAATAGTGTTCCCAGAAACATCAGACCAAGAGGTGTCCTCACCTATGAGCATTTCTTGTTAATAGGGGTTATTTTGGAGGAGATTTCAGTGATATTTAGTCGAGTGATAGAAGAAGAAGTATAGGTAGGTAATAAGTATTTGGTACGAACTGAAGCCTATTCAGGACTTCATTGGGTAACCCAGTTAGAATTTGGAGAGCCAGTGGACTTAGTCTTTGGATGTATTAATGAGATCTCAGCTTTATTGGTTATTTATTTTTTATCATGTCATCCTAATTGTTATGGAATGTCAAGTCAACATGGAATGTTCTTTTTATTTATCAGAGGTTATCCATAGTGTGATCAATGTCAGAGTTGGAGAAAACCAGTGACAACACAGCAATACAGCAGCATTGAATAGACTATCTAAAGAGTTGCGTTGGTGATATCTTATTATCTCAACCTGTTTTTAAGGACATTCTAATGAAGTCTTAACTACTTCATATATGCGTACCTCTCCGTCTCTTTGTCTTGCAGCTTTAATGTTTTCTGCGATCTTTAGTTTGTTCCAACAGAGAGAACATGATCATATATATCCACAATGCAACAGAGTCTGTGGCAACAGTAAAACTATTATATGAATCCTGAGCTGTGTGTAGGTGGTCCATTGAGCTGTTTCTCTAGAAAGTACAGCATGTATTGTAAGAAAAGTTGATGAGAAGAGAAAGAAATGAATATCTCAACAAGAGTGAAGGACAGAAAGAAAAACACACAATTATCTGCCCACATGACTTCCCTTCACTGACATATTGCAGTTTGTAGAAACTAAACAACATCATAAGCTGTCTTAACAGCAGCTGTTGCTTAATCACTGACATCTCAGAAGATTGCAGAGAGAGTGAGCCAACTGTCGAATATGTCAGCTTTGTTCAGGTTTTAGCAACATTTTCTCAGCTGCAGTCAATAAAGAAAGAAAGGTCCTTCTGTTGATATCTTAACAGATACAATCACAGCACTCACCAAACATTATATGTGAACCAGTAAAACTGATCCTATATTGGCCCCTTGCCGCAAAAAGCTAATTTGTTAAATCACACAAGCATTTAAGTAAAAATAGGAGAAGTAAGTTGGAAGAAAAAAAAATCATTTTTTTTAGTCAAGTGTGCTTGACTTAGTGTATGAAGGTGTGTGTGTCTCTTTGGGGACGTCATGGGTTGCACCTTTGAAAGAAATGGAGTCAAGGATATTCTGCTTTTGGACGTCTTCGCTTTTCCAAATCAGAATATTATTCTTTTGTATTCTTATTTGCTGCAGCTAAGCTTCCAAAGCAAGATTTCATTCTTTTGCTGCGTTCTGAAACTTCAAAAACATCGCTTGTACATCATTTGTTAAAGTTAATAGATAAAAGAAGAACAGAGGCTTTACAGTCAGTTTTTTTTATCCTGTTTCACTCTCTGTTTAAGCTATGTGAACTGTTTCTTTTTTTACCTTTTCTGTATGTTTGGTGGCAAATAATTAGATGTCTGGACTGGACAACTGGAATCACTTTTGTTAGTAACATTTGTGCTTTAAGATCAACAATACTGTTTTCAAGCCTTATATCAAATGCAATATTTTGCATTCTCAGTCATTCATCTTTGAGACTATTAATTCTCTGCTGGTGTTTCATTCCCCCTCCCTGTTTTCAGTCCCATTTCCAGTTTCATGGTGTCTATGCTGGTTCTAAGCGAGCGATTCCGTTTGCTCTGACAAACTGCTCGTCAGCTAAAGCCCGGGTCACCTTCGACCTGTCAGAATACACAGACTTCTCTTTGCAGCTGTCTCAGCCCTCAGCAAGTATGCATTTGCATCACACACAGTGCAACATATCACACACTTGGTATTTGGTTGAAAGCAGGTGATATGTCCTTAGATTGTTTTGTGTTTGCTGAGTTTTTTTCCTTTGTGTGATTTTTGTCAGCAGATAAGGAGCCAGGTGTGATTGTTGTGGAAGTCCAAGGCTACCAGAGAGTGGACTGTTCCCTTGTCTTCTCCCCCACCCAAGTGAGATTTTGACCAATGCATTGCATTTACACCATTTTAGAGCCGTCAGATGAAGCTTAACCTTCAGATTCATTGTCGCAATTTAGGGGTGAATAAAGAAATATCTGGATGTATATGATTTAGAAGGAATATTGTGCAAAGTAATAGACATAGAAGTGAGTTATAGCTCATGTGCACTCTTTAATTTTTGTTTATTTATCACACAACATATAGTTATCCCAGTATTAAACAATGTTAATACTCATGACATATTTCCCTCACATAGTGCAGTCCTGTTCATTTATAAAATGCTCAGGTTTAAAGATTAATGTTGTGAATAAGCCTTCTATTGCAATCTCTTATCCTTTTCCAGTTTCTATTTTTCCAAACTAATGAACCTAACAGAAAGCTTACTAATATTTACAGCTGCAAGCTTACACACCTTCACAGTGAAAGTACATCCCCCTTATACAGAGGACGGTAGAGGTGGCGAGTTTGACCTTGTATCTCTAGCAGCTGATAATCAAGCAGTAGCAGGTGGTAGAGATGCTGCCGTTAACTTTAATTGTATCTCTATACAGCTTATTAGTGTTGGCAGAGACTACATAATGCCTTTCCATTTTGATTCAGTCATTTAAAAAACTGTGAAATGTGTGTGGTTGTACAAGCGATATCTTAAAATGTCAAAGAAGTATAAAAGGAAAGTCAAGGAGATGTCTTCCTGCAGGCAGCGAGCTATGACTTTGACCTGCCACTGAAGGTCAACGGAGTGAGAAGGCATGCTGCTTCTTTTCCTCCTTTCCCCACTCCACCCTCCTCCTCCTCCACCTCCTCCTCGCTGACAGCTGGCAGCAGGCACCATGTCGTCAAATCTCATCCTCGGTCTGTCACCATGGTGACACAAAAGTCACATCACATACAGGCCACAGGTAGTGTCATTAATGTGAAGCCACAGTTGTTGTGATGGCTAACTACTTTAAACACTGTTCAATATATATTTCTGTGTTTGTTACACCATTTTTGCACAGAACAAATTTTTTCATTTCGTTTTATTTTTCCTGAGTTCAATTTATTATTTCCCTACGATTTTTTGTGTATTTTTAGTGCTGTGTGCCCCACTGGAAATATCCCCTTCTAGTCTACAGTTCCATGTGGAACCAGAGTCTGACAACACTAAGGTATACCTGCGTCATTTTCTTTCCTCCCTCCTTTCCCATGTTTTTCCCCTCTCTCCATCTTCATAGGCTTTTCAAAACTTTGAAATCCAATCCCTTGCTTCTCTTTTCATCTTTGTTGTTTTCTTTATCGTTTCTACATGTCACCTAGGTGTGTGTATCTGTGTTTCTGCTGTCTGTTTCTTTTCTTTTCTGCCCCTAACTCGTCTCTCTCTCTGCAGACAGTGGAGCTGAAAGCAGTGTGTAAAGAGAGTGTGTTTTGGCGTGGAGGTGTCAGGGAACATGTCAGCTGGTGGTTTGACTGCAGTGCAGTAGCAGTACGGACAGAGAACGGAAGAGAGGGGGAGCTACATGCATGTACAGTGTCTCCAACATCAGGATGCCTGGAGCCCGGACAGTCCATTTGTTTGGTTGTCATCATCAGCCCAGACTCAATCAGAGAAGGTGAGAAGTGATTGAAAAAATCTACATTTACTATCCTTTGTTCAGAATTCTTTCCCACTTCAAAACACACAAATAATGTACATCATATTTTACTGTCAAATTAAGTGTAACATCCCTCAGATGATAGTTTAACATGGGTCAAAACATAAACTAAATCTATATTTAGTTAATATGAAATGTAGAGAGCATACAGAGAAAACTTAGTTGAAACTTCTGTCAGACCTGTAGTCATACATTTTTTATCATAAATTTTACCAATGGACTTGAATCGATCTCACTGTCATACACGAGAGGGACTGAGAGTGTAGGACAGACCTCAGGGAGTTTGTAGCAGAGAGAGATGTTCTGATCACTCTGCAGTTTTCATGGGACTTTGTGTTCTGTCAGTAATGCCCAAACTGACCAGTTTGATGTGCACATAAGCTTTTTGTGATTACTTTGCAACAGTCTGGTGCTTTTTGCAGAAAATTTAACGAGCCGATTTGTTTTGAATCAATGTTGCTCACACCAGTTTAAGACTGCAGATGGAGGAGACACCTGCTACCTTTAAATGCTGTAGAGAGAGTGAGCATAGTAATGCAAAGGCCTTAAATATAGGCAACTGACTATGTTGTATTACAGTAAGAACCACTTATTAATCTTTCTTCTGTCAAGTTGGAATGAAAACCATAATTGGAAAACAACCTTTTTTCCCCTGTGTGATTACATGTCAGATGGATGAAAAAATGTACAATAAAAGTGGAATAAAATATATGAATAAAGCTAGAGGCTGATATAAGAAGGTGTCATGTTCACTGATTGAATAGCTTTTGATAGCACCACCACAATTTGATTTGTACATTTTCTTTGATTTGTACATTTTCTTCTTCAAGGGTCTGGAAACATGACCAAACTATCGCTCCCTCTTTACCTGGGAGACGAGGGAAGTGAAGAGACTGGAGGACAGGGGGAACATCAACCCTATAGAAAGCTGTCCATCACTATTACTCGCAAGCTTCCTCATATCACCATCCATCCCCCTCAGATCCTCCTCACAGCTGTACCTCTGCAAACCAGTGCAAGTGCCACAGTCACCCTGCTCGCTTCTGGATATCCTAGGTAGGTTTACACATGCACACACTCACAAACACAAATGTTTTCTGTTTTCCACAGGCCAAAAACTCTTTAATTTACTCATGAATGGTTCACTTTGGATCACAACGCCTACACAACTGCTTTACGATCACAGTTGTTGTCATCTGTGTTTTGGCTAAGTGGAGCAATAACATTGATGCATTTTTATTGTGTTTACATTTTTTTTCAGCTGGTGGTAATTTAGCAGCTGTGTTGAGCCATTGGAGCTAAATGGATGCAAAGTAAACACAGGAACATAAACTGATTTATTCATTTCAGTGGGATTTCTATCAATCAAGCCAGGACTCATTTACTGGCAGGCCTGTGCTCATGTTAGATTTCACTTACATTGTAAGCCAAAAAGCTAATCCTCAATCCTCTGTGGTTTACATTGTTATTCAGATTTCACAGTAGACAGCAATCTGGCTGCACCATTTACAGTTCTGGCAGCATGTTCTGACCCACATTGCTTTTACTGAGCAGGGGAACATAGTCCTAAGGTCCTAAGGCTCTCCTTACACTTTGTTATCTTAAAACATTTTAAAAATGTTAAAAGAATATTAGAATTTAAATTACGTATAGTAATACAGACATATTCCCAACGGCATGATGTTATCTATAATGTTACATGGGAGCACGAAGGTTGAATTAAAGATTTGAGCTCAGACTCACTCAGCTGAACGTTTTGCATTTAATTTTCCCATGTCAAATATAAATAGCTTCACAGTTTAAACATCAATAGATTGACAGATTTTGCTGTAATTTTTTCACTACAAATTTGTCATCAGCCTATCTAAAGGACAAATTTTCATTATAGATCGATAGACCGTAAAATCTGTTATATAAAACTTTTTAAGACTTTTAAAACCAAATTGGTCATCAAAAAAGTTGGCTGTGTCCTTTATACCAGTGCGATCAATATACCTGTTAATCCACCTTTGCAGCGGAACTACTGTAACAGCTGAAGTGAATGAGGTGAAACTGGAGGATGGAACAACAATGCAACCTGTGTCCGTCATATTTCCAGAGGGTAGCACCTTCCCTGCCCAAAAGCAGGGTCAGGTTATCTGCAATGTGTTCTTCTGTTCTGCCACCCCACTGTCCATCTGCACAACTATCACCTTCACTGACCACCTGCACAACAGGTAAATGCCCCATATATCTTTTATTCTGATATATTTGTTGTTTTTTTGCCTACTTTCTTTCTTCATCCAGCTCTCAAACAGAAATAGTCCTGCCATTATATCTCCATTTGATTTGTTTTGCCCACTAGTTTCTATTCCTCTTCTTTACCCCTTAAGTATTATCTTTTGTAATCAGCTGCACAGAAAATTTGCTGTAAAAATATTGCTTCAACCTAATTCCAAGCATAGGCTTTCTCTTTTTGCATTTTCCCTGGCAATGGCAGGGTTAAAACCCATGTAGTTCTCCTTCACCTCAACAACATTTATTAAAGGGTTACTCTAGTGTCTCATGCTCAAATAATCCAAAAAATCAACAGTATTTTTTATTATTACTCACCTTTTCATTAAAACACATACACATTAAAACATTGATTCCAACTGTTTTTCTGCTTTTCTCTTAAATCTGACCTTCCTCTCTTTCTCTGTAGATTTAAGGTCAAACTGTGTGCCATTGCTGACAATAGCCAATTGACAGTCTGGCATTACATGGGCCTGCACCGATCTGATCAACAGATAGTTCTCAAGACTGGTACTGTATATCACAAACAAGTGCACATACATGGCACAATCCTGCCATGTATGTGCTGGGGGGATTATAACCATTTTGCAGCTGTGAAACTTTATCCAATATCTTTCTTAATGCATCTGATTGGTTTATGTGTCACTGTCATACAGGGGCCACAGCTGTTGAGGCCATCCTTCAGAATTATTACACTCCAAGTCCTGCACCTGGTCCGAATTCATCCTCCTCATCATCGTTTGATCACAACAGCTCAACAAACAAGACCTCAGTCTCAGGTCAGTAAGATTCACTGTATGTTTGTGTCATATAGAATAGAATAGTATAGAATAGAATAGAATAGAATTACTTTATTGATCCCAAACTGGGAAATTGTGGCGTTACAGCAGCAGGTTATCCAACACACAATATGAGTAAAAAACACAATGTTAGCAATCTAAACACAATATGATATTAACTACAAAGTAAATAAGTACTAAAAGATATCAAAAATAAGAATGTGAATATATACAACCAGGATTTAACTAAGCATTACTAGTCTTAAATAGGTAGATTAAATATGGAAGATTGAATGTAAATGTGCAAAAACAGAGTCGTAGATGGTTATAAATTAAATATGAAAGATTAAATGTAAATGTGCAAAAACAGAGTTGTAAATGGTTGTTAATTAAATATGAAAGATTAAATGTAAATGTGCAAAAACAGAGTAGTAAATGGACAGTATTGACATAAGTTAAAGTGCATGAGTGTAGACATATTATAAGCAGAAACTATACAATATAACGGCGAGTAGACAGCCAAATGAAGTGAACATGACTGCAGGGATAATTTGTAAATTTAACATGTGCAGAACAGATGGACAGTATGGAGAGACAGATATTATCATGATGACAGTTCTCTGCTCGCATGAGGTGAGCTGTTGTACAGAGTTATGGCCTTCGGTAAGAAAGATTTCTTGTATCTGTCCTTGTGACAGCGGAGTTGTATCAGTCTGTTGGAGAAGCTGCTCCGCTGTTTGTCCAGTAGGGTGTGCAGAGGGTGATCAGGATTATCCATAATGGATAACAGTTTGTTAAGAGTCCTCCTCTCTGTCACCACTACAAAAGAGTCCAGCTTGCAGCCTATCACAGAGCAGGCCTTCTTAATGAGTTTGTCCAGTCTCTTAGTGTCACCAGCTTCAATGCTGCTCCCCCAGCAGACCACAGCAGAGAACAGTGCACTGGCCACAACAGACTGATAGAAGATCTCCAACATCTTGCTGCACACGTTGAAGGATCTTAGCTTCCTCAGAAAGTAGAGTCGGCTCATCCCCTTCTTGTACACAGCCTGAGTGTTGGCCTTCCAGTTCAGTTTGTTGTCTATGTTGACACCCAGGTACTTGTGCTCCTCCACCACAGACACGTCCTCTCCCAGGATGCACAGCGGTGGTGTCTCTGTCCTCTTCCTTCTGAAGTCGATCACCATCTCCCTGGTCTTATCCAAGTTCAGAATCAGGTGATTTCTTCCTTTCCACGCCACAAAGTTATCCACCAGCTCTCTGTATTCCCCCTCTTTCCCATCACTTATACACCCAACCACCGCAGAGTCTCCCAGAAAACTTCTGCAAGTGGTATGACCTGGAGTTGTACTGAAAGTCAGAGGTGTACAAGGTGAAAAGGAAAGGAGACAGCACAGTCCCCTGTGGAGCTCCTGTACTGCTCTCCACCGTTCCAGACTGAACACTGCCAAGTCGGACAAACTGTGGTCTGTCTGTCAGGTAGTCAGTAATCCAGGTGTTGATGGACGAGTCCACACCCATCAACTGCAGCTTCTCTTCCAGCAGTTGTGGCTGGATGGTGTTGAATGCACTGGAGAAATCTAAAAAAGTGATTCTCACAGTGCAGCCGTTTCCCTCCAGATGTGAGTGAGCACGCTGCAGCAGGTAGATGATGGCATCATCCACTCCCAGGTGTGGCTGGTAGGAAATTTGTACAGGGTCAAGGGATGGTTTCACCTGCGGCCTGAGGTGGGTCAAGACGAGCCTCTTCAACACTTTCATCACCCAAGATGTGAGAGCCACTGGTCGATAGTTCTTGAGATCAGATGGTGTCGTCTTCTTTGGGGCCGGGACCAAGCAGGACGTTTTCCACAGCACCGGTATCCTCTCCTGGCTCAGACTCAGGTTGAAGAGGTGTTGCAGAATCTCAGACAGCTGGCTGGCGCAGGTCTTCAGAACCCTTGGGCTGATGCCGTCCAGGCCTGGAGCCTTGCTAATGTTTAGTTTCTCCGGCTGTCTCTTCACCTGGCCAGTTGTTAGAGTTGGGGGGATGGAGCAATTCACCTCAGAGGGGGAAGTGCATTCCTGTGGTGCGGGGCCAGAGTCCAAAGAGTTCACCATGGGGGAGGGTTGGGGGGGAGGGAGAAAATACAAAGGGAGGCTGTAAGGTGTGAAGTACAGGGGTGTTGTTTGAGGTGGGTTGGGGGGAGGGAGAAAATACAGAGGGAGACAGGGAGGTGTGAAGTACAGGGGTGTTGTTTGAGGTGGGAGTGGCAGATGAAGGCTGTGCACTAAACCTGTTGAAGAACAGGTTTAGCTCATTCGCCCTCTCCAGGCTGCCAGAATGTTGTCTTTCTCTCCCTTTGAAACCAGTGATTTCCCTCATTCCAGTCCACACATCCCTCACGTTGTTCTGATGGAGTTTGGCCTCCAGCTTTCTCCTGTATGAGTCCTTGCACTCCCTCAGCTTTTCCATCAGATCGTGCTGTATCCTTTTCAGCTCCTCCCTGTTTCCAGACCTGAAGGCTTGTTTCTTTTTGTTGAGAAGGGCTTTCAGGTCACTGGTGATCCAGGGTTTGTTGTTAGGAAAACAGCGTACAGTCCGGGCCGGTAAAGCAGTGTTTTCACAGAATTTTATGTATTCTGTGATGCAGTCAGTCATGCTGTTAATGTCCTCTCCATGTGACTCGCAGAGTACATCCCAGTCTGTGGACTCAAAGCAGTCCTGCAGTGCCTCGTTGCTCTCCTGTCTGCACCCCCTAACAGTCCTTGTGGTCAGAGGCTGTCTTTGGACCAGGGGGATATACTCTGGTGTCAGTGGGACAGGTTGTGGTCTGATCTGCCCAGGGGGGAAGGGCAGTGGTACTGTATGCTTCCTTAACATTAGCATACAGAAGGTCCAGTGTTTTATTTTCTCTAGTTGGAAGGTTAACATATTGATGAAAAGTGGGTAGTGTTTTGTCCATTTTTACATGATTAAAGTCCCCAGTAATGGCAACAAAAGCATTTGGATGCTTAGTTTGAAGCTGTGAAACAGTAGAGTGAATGGCATCACTCGCAGACTCGGCATCAGCTGACGGTGAGATGTAAACAGCTATAACAATGGCGTACGTGAATTCCCTGGGCAGGTAATATGGGCGCATTCCAACAGCTAACAGTTCAATGTCCGGGGTGCAGAGATGTTCCTTCACACTAACATGGCCAGGATCACACCATCTCTCACTCACATACAGTGCAATCCCTCCACCTTTCTTCTTACGTCCCTGTCCGCCCGAAAAGTCCTGAAGCCGGGTACCGCCACGCTGTGGTCCTGGATGTCCGAGTGCAGCCATGTCTCCGTGAAGCACATAATACTGCACTGGCGGTATTCCCACTGGTGCCGAACAAGCGCGTCGAGTTCATCCGTCTTATTGCCCAAAGACCTCATGTTCCCCATAATCACCGCTGGTACAGAAGGCTTATGTTTTCTCTTCTTAGCGCTTCTCTTAGCTCCAGCTCTGCAACCCCGGCGTCGCCTCCTCAGCTCCCCCGGAATTACAGGCCTTGCCCCGGGCAGTAGCACCTTGGAGAGCGCCATCAGCTGATCACGTGTGTAAACAATGCCCTCACTCAGCTGTGCGCTGCTCTCCGTTACAAAGAGTGTATGTGTATGATATGTTTAAATATCTGTTAATGTTTGAATGTTATACCTTTATTTCAGCAGTATTTTGTTTAAAGTCCCCACTGTGTATGTATCTGTCCTCCTCAGACTCCCTTCCTTGCAGTGGAAGTGTAAGCAGCCAGGGCAGCAGGGATACAGACATCTTTCCAAACACAGACACCCCAACCAATTTTGGCGTCCCAGAATTCCCTGCGGCCAACTCAGAAGAAGGACTTTATTACCAGAATGTGTTGATGGCTGTAGAGAGGTGGTTTAGCCTCTTTGGGTGGCCGGGTGGGCCACTTCCTATCTCTGTACCACACACACTCAGAAGGTAAAACTCAGTAGTTAAGTTCAGCAGCCGCAATTAGAGGCATGTTAATGTCAGAGGATTTTAACTTTTAGGGACTTCAGTTTTAACGTATTCCTCCTGTTTTTCACCAGAAATGTGTCAAAAATTCAAACAAATCATTCCAGTGGACGGTCCTTTCGAGTCAGTCAAAACAAAGACTCCAGGTGCGCTTAGACAAATATGGAGGGTGTAGTTTGTAAATGAATTAACTTTAAACTGCAGAGTCAAATTTAGATCATGATAAAATATAACATAACTGCATGTTTAAATCTGTTTAAAAAAACTATGATACAAAGTAATATAAAGCACCTTAAAGCAGCTTCTGCCTGCTGGATGCTACATTTATGTATATGGGGAACTTAAGGATAAACAAGGGCCCTCGTGTGCAAATAATGTTTTTTTTAAATGGGAACGGGAATGTTTCTCAGGTTTTTATAGATTATGAAATCTTAGAGAGCTAAAATAGGGTCAAGGAAAATAATAGATTGTACCTGAACTGAAGCTCAGTCGGGATTTAATTTTCTAACTGTAGTGGCATCGATCTGTCTGCGGTTGCAGGAGACGTAACTTTATTGTGTTGTTGTGTCTAGGTCTGTAGTGGACATGCTTCATCACTTGACTGGCAAACAGATTCCTGGGATTTCTCACTGTCAGGCGTTTTCCAATGACATAGACAAGCGCACCAAGCAGCTGCTACAACAGCATGAAGCTATGCTTGCTTTTCTAAGGTAGGCCTTACACACCTTTACAATGCAACAGACATGTTTGACCTCTGCCATTTAAGACATGCAATTCTAATCTTTAAGTAATGTATTGGTGTCCTATTCTTAAAAATAAAAAATCTGTATTGTGTGTATTTACTTGTGTGAATAAAGATCGAGAATCTCACACACAGTAGTTATTCATGGTCACACTGCACCGACCCTCCTACTTTCAAATCACTGATCAAAACTCACCTCTTCAAACAAGCTTTTAATGTATGATTGTGATGTATTTCCTGTTTTCTGTTGTTTTACATTTATTGTTGTTATCTTTATGATTTGTGTGTAATGTTGCAATGTCTGTTAGTCTGTCCTTACTGTGCTGTTCTTTCTGTTTTTAACTATTGTAAAGTGTCTTTGAGTTTTTTAAAAGCGCTTATAAATAAAATGTATTATTATTATTATTTATTATTATTACCAAAGACTTCAGCAGCAAAATACATTGCTAGAAATGCTCAGGAGTGCATGTGTGAAAATGCCTTTAGTAAAGCTGTAAGGAATGTTAATGTAAAATACCCAAGACTGTAACTCTGTGTTCAGGGTGCAAGGAGCCTGCCTTTGTCACATTAGACCAGAGTACTTGCTGGACATACAGGAGTTCAAACACTGGTGCTTACCGCAAGTAAATACACACACTCAACAATGAAATCTTAGACCTGCACCATGTATATCAAATAGTATGTCCTTTAAATCAAGTTTTTGATCATTTAAAGACTGCATCCATTGCAATTGCTTTAGCAGTGAAAACTCCATCCTATGATTACTGTCTTTTACTTAAACGTGTGCATATCTGGAGTGTCTTGTCGTCTTGACTTCCATGTGTGTATTTCTCTCAGGCTAATGAGGATGGAAACAGTCTGGACTACGGCAGTGTTGACTATGAGTCTCTGAGCAAACGGTCGTGGACTGATGTGCTGCTGCAAATATACAAGGTGTAAAACTCTTCTGACTCTCTCTATGTTTCCTCTGACATTATAAACTGTTCATCTCAGTACCATAACACTGGCTTTTCTTTGATATCTATCTGTGCAATATGATCGAAGTACAATTTTCCTTTGTCAATCCCTTGTACATTTTATCCGTTGGCTTTCTCTCCCTTATGTATTTCTCTCTCTTCCAGGCAGTGGTCTTGCAGTAACCTGATCTTGTAATTTATTTCAGGTGCTGGTATTATGTCGCGTGTCACAAAGTGGTCTGAATGCAAATCTGAAGCATGAAGACTTCCAAATCAGCTCACAGCCACTGAACAGTAACATTTATTCATCGTGGGAACTCCAGTTACTCTCTTGGCTCAACATACACTACCTGGGCATGAGGGAGACTGTGTGGGAAAAAGGTGGAACACATAACATGTACACACGTCTGTACGCGATCAAAGATCTTTTATTGCAGAAGAGGCTCCACTCTATGCAACCCCTACATACTAGCAAGTGTACTTTTTGTGGTTTCTATCTTTGTTTAAATTGGATTCTAATTATATCAATAATTTAAGACCATCAGCTAAAAGGTTTTTACACTAGAACCATCTCTATAAGGACTTAGGGCTATAAATTCTTTAAGAGAGCAGTTCCTGATCCAGACGCAACAGAGTAGAATGTTTTTAGAAACCCAGGAGGATTTTATTGTTTCACTCTGTTCTAGTAAGTATAGTTGTAATATACTTCTTAATCTGTTTCTGAAGCTCTTCCCCTTATCATTTTAAATATTAACCAACATTTGGAATTAATATAGATACATTTTATGCATATTCTTTCCAATGTCTATTGAACTTTTGCAGCTTCTTTCACAACTTTTGGGATGGTTATTTTATTTGGTGGTTCGGTTAAGTGGTTCTGTAACTTTACAAACTTTGCTACTTTTTTCCAATATGTGAAACAACTGCATTTCATACTTTCTGAATTCAGGTCAACCCTGTGGAAACATTTCCTCACCACTTGTAACATACTTTTATGTTCATGCAAGGCTTTAGGCAAGATGTGTCAGTACCTTTTGATGCCTGATATGTATTACTGATCTGCAGTAATTTCTTCCTGGTAATGGTTTGCAGGTAATGTCCCATCAGCTCGCTGGATCGTGAATTTCGACCTGGACTTGACAGATGGGCTGGTACTTGCTGCTCTGCTTGCTTCCTACTGCCCGTACCTGGTCAGTGTGTGCGCATGAGCGTGTCTGTTCATTTTGTGTGCAAACCCTCTTTAATGTGTGTGTAAGTCAATGAGGGATGGTGGTTAATGTCTGTAAGTGGCACTCTGATTGATGTGATGAGGACGCAATTAGTCCTGAACAAGATTAGTTGAACCTCTTATCATTCTAAGCACCTTTTTGTGTGTGCATGTTAGCGTCTAAGGGAGAGAGTGCTATTCACTCTGTATTTTAGTAGTGGAGTTTTTCCTGCAAGGGTCTGATAGGGAAATTTGTCTCAATCCTAAAATCATCTGTCAAAACCTAAAGTTTAAACCTTTTGCAAGCCAAAAACTTGTTTTACAGAGCATGTATTGGTACTAAGCCATGGGAAATACACAACCAAATGCCAGAGAAAATAGAAATATTATCCAAATGAAACATGTGGGGCTACAGATAAATCTTGTCATCTAATTCCACTTAACCACTGTGTCCCGAATTAGATCTGCAGCCACTTCCAAAGGATGTACACCATGACTAGCAACCTGGAGCAGATTCTTCACAACAATATCATTGTTGTGCAGGCCTTAACTGCACTTCGTCTTAACCTGGATATACAGGTAAATATCAGACAGGACTGGGTTTTTGTGTTGCACATTTAGATAACCAGGTCACCTAGTTTATGTCAGTAATATGAGACTATTTCCTTTAAAAAAAAAAAAGGAAAAATGTCTGACCTCAGTTACCAAAAATACTTATTCAACCAAGTTAGTTTTCAGGTTTAGCTCCGGGTCAGGTATAACAAATGTGAGAATCAATCAGTGTTTCCCCTTCCTTTGTCAACCCCATGTATTTGCACATTGTTTTATAACAACACATGCACGCGCGTACACACACACACACACACACACACACACACACAGATTCAGATTTAAGATATCTGCTCTGAATATTTTTGGATTGTACTTGAATAATTAAGCATTGTGCTTCTATAATGTTATTAAAGTCTCTTTGTGTTCTGATTGCAACAATTAATGCTTCCTGGAGTCAAAAGCCACAAACTCAATTGATAAGCAGAGTGACCTTGGGAAGATATCTTCTTTGTAACTCCACACAGTTATTTTCATTTTCAAACTTGAATTCTTCAACCCCAATGCTGACTCAGTTGACATAATTTAAGGACATCTATCAGACTACACAATCTCTCTCCACAAAAGGCTATGCACAACTTCTTTCACATTTGAAGTAGTATTCCTAACAGCTTGAACACTCACTGATGAGTTCAATCAGTGTTCCTCTTAGGCAAATATATTCGATCTATAGCTTTAAGTTAAAGCTGAAACTGAAGCTTTCATTATGAAATACAATTAGTATTACTTTTATTTAAAAGGCGAAGTGGACAGTTTTAATGCATTTAAACTTCCAAGTTGTTTAATATCACTTGACTTTATATTCCAACACTTGACAGACATACTGGAAAGAAACTTGTCAGCGCAATTATGTTCAATCTACTTGTGTCAAAATGTGGTTTTACAAAAAGAGTTTCTCTTAGGCATAAGTGGAGGCGTAAAATATGTCACTGTCATTCTTTCAAAGATTAGGCAACCTTTTATGCTGTGTGCCTCTGTATCTGACTGTGTGTGATGTGTTCAGCCCACAGACTTGTCAGACCCAAACCCAGTGCAGATGGTAATGCTGTGTGTTCACTTGTATGAGAGGCTGCCTCAGTACCTGCCTCTGCACACCATCACTCTCTCAGGAAGCCTGCACAGCACCTTCACTAAGCAGGTAGCCCACACACACACACAGACACACACAGTATCAACGTTGGTCTTAAAAGTCACCCAAATAAAAATTAAACTACCTGCCTTGTATATCAAATTCATGACCACATTGAAAGTGAAACAGCTTGGATAATAGCCTCCTGGACAGATAATGACACACACACAGAAACGCACAAATACTGCCACTGGGCTGACACACATTAACAGGATTATAGGCACACACACATACATTAATAGGATTATAGATGCAGCCACGCACACACTAACAGGATTACAAAAACAGACAAACATAGATTTGGGTAATGATGCACAATGTCAGGTTTAAGCCACATTACAAGACAAAAAACAGATGTCAGTTTGTCTCTGCTAAGCTAGATGGATTTCATTTTTAAATTGTTTTCTGGCAGCAGCATGTGTCTGTGTTTTTGTGGCTGTACTCTCCTTCTTTTATATGTATAAACAAACAGCTACTTATTTTTGTCTTTGTGTGTTTGTGCACTACAGGTGCGTCTAAAAAGCCCATCCTCTAAGCCTGTAAAATACCAGCTCTTCCTTTTAGGAGAGGATGCCCATCTCTTCTCCCTTCCTGGTGGATCTACTGTCACCATTCCTCCAAAGTATGCTCTTTACCTACAAAATGTAAATCTCAATACAGTTTTGTAAAAGGTAGCATGCAAGTGTACAGTACAGAACAGAACATAAATATGTGCAAGTTTCCCCAGATTGAATGAGGTACGGTTAAATATAAAATATGTTGTATGTTATTATTATCATCAGCCTAATTATCTTTGGATGAACCAGTTACCTTCGAGCCTCCCCTGCCCTCACAAATTGTTTTAAGACGTTTTGGAAAAGTTCCAAAGTTGTTAGGTGGTGCTCCACTACAGGCAGAACCAGCTCTTTATGAACAATCCTACCAACTAGGGACTTAGAATCCAGGCAGTGTCATACCTCTTTTAAACCTATAAACAAGACGACTGGCTACACATGATAACTGAGTAAAGAATGGAAACAGACTTTTTGGACTGGTAAAGATTCAAGTTTGTTGTTAAAATGGACCATACATGTTTGTGCAAATATTACCTAAGCCTCAGAGGCATGCTAACTTTAATAAGAGATATTTAGTTTGAAAAATGTGGAAGAATTAGTTTCATGATATACAAAACAGAAGAAACATTTAAAATGTACAAGACCAAACGAAGAGTTGCACAAAAGCTGATTGTTATAAGTTGAGCTTACAGAAATTGTTCTCACATTTCACTCACGACTTTCGCCTTTTCCCTTAGATTTCAAAAAGACTATTGTGCATTTACCTGTTTGTATGGTAATAATGGAACTTAATCTGCTAACCCTAGATGAAAGAAAGTCAATTCTGGTTTTGTATTATGCACATCATGTATGGGAATTCAGACTGAAGTATTCCTGCTTAGGTTGACTTACTAAAATTTGCATTATTTCCACTTTGATTTAGAACCCAATTTGTATACAGTTCACTCAGGACACATCTCAAATGAACTATTTACAGGCATTTTTTTCCAGGTTAAAGCATAAATTATCATGCAAAAAGAGGAGTGTTGTGCAATGAAATTCTAATTATGAAACACTGGTGCATGCCTTGTAGCGTGCATCAACAGCAACCTCCTCTCTAAAACTGGTATCGTTAGTAAAGAACTGCTGTCTTTGCATCTGTACTTACAAAATAACTTGTGTCGGCTGACCTGAGCACTGAAAAGAAAGCAAAAAAGTCTCTTTGACTGATTAAGCTCAGTGTCCAAGTTAAGTAAATTTAGCTCTGCCTGGAGACCGTGGCTCATTAAAATCTACCAGTTTTGGTCTCAAGTGAAGCCTTTCTATAAAAATAACCCATGTCCTATTTTGAATCCTCAGCTTAACTCTTAGCCATACTTTCTTTTATTAAGCACCCTGCCTTTATGCAGAATTAGCATTCAAATTCTGCTAATTCATCATTGTCATTGCCCTGAAACAAGAGGTCGTTCAGTAGACTATATATCCCTTTCGAGGCTTAAAAAGTTTGCTGTTGAATGTTGATTTCAGGGCAAGCACTGAAGTGACCGTCCAGTACAGCTGCTCCTTCATGCAGCCCAAGGAGGCAGTCCTGCTTTTCATCTCCAGCCCTCCTGTTGGCCTGTGCAGCACCTCACTCACCTTTAATCTGAAGACCCATGTCAGCCACATTAAACCCACAGTAAGTGTGATAAACTATTGGGTGGATTGATAATGTAACATTTTGAAGTGTTAACATAGATGTTTGCCTGCTTTCTGACCAAAAACTGTACAAAACATGAACGTAGTCATAGGGATTTGAAACCTAATTATGACATTCTCAGTATCTGAAATGTTATATTCACCTAACTTTTGGTCTATCTAGACATGCTAACTGCTTTTATTTTAAACGGATGGCTACTTAAAACTTGGTCATATGACTGTTTGCTTCCTATCGTCTGTCTTTAGAAAACTGTCAAGTGCAAATCTCCAAGCTATCAGCTGAAAGTGATCGAAATGCCAATAACCAACCGGTTCAGCAATGAGGCTATGTTCAGGTAGGTGTCTGCATGTATACAAGCTGTGACAGTTTAGAATAAGAGGTTTAAAATGAAAAAACGCTCTATAAAAATCCAAAAAAACAACAAACTTTAAAGGTATATACCCATTTTAGAGAGTTATAGAGACTATAAATCTGAAACTTTGAGCTTAAACTTGTGTGTGTTTGACTAGGGTGGTGCTGGTGGAGTCTCTGTTCAACCCACTGGAGCCTGAAAAAAGAGACAGCCTGGTTCAACAGGCCTCATCCAAGACCAAGTAAAACACGCTCTGTTGAGACACACACTGAAGATCCACATTGTACACACAAAGTGAAAGGAATAGACTGACACTGAAAAGTTTGGCAGCTTTTGAAGGGAGGGTTGTCAGATTTCTTTTACTTTTTGACAGATCTAAGAAAATGTTCCTAGCTAGTTACAAATGATCATCTGAGGTGCACCTGAATAAGTGTGTAGTCTGATATCCATTATCTATGTATGATGATGATTTTCTTCCTCCGCCTCCCTCTTTCAGTGTAGAGAAGATTACTTCAGACAAGAGCTGTGGGGAGGGAATGGAAGGGAAACCCTCAGATCTCGGTAAGCACCAAACGCATACACATAGGAAATGCCATAATTACTTTTTAAGCTCCTTTGTGTCGACTGTCTTCATATGTGTCTCATTTCTGGGTGTGTTCCCAGATGTTGAAGACAGCGACTTCCTGAGTGCAGCGAGGAGTGTTCATCTGAAGTCAGGCCAAGAAGACTCTCTGATCATCCACTACCTGCCCTTCTGCCCAGGCACCAAATACTGCTCTGTGCTGCTCATTTGCCCACAGGTTAGCATGTGTGTCTTTATCACTGGGTAGTCTTTCAATTCCATGAAATAGACTTTTTATGAAATTATTATCCTTTTACTTTACTTAAAGTGTTGGATGGTAGGATCAAGTTTGAAAACAGACAAAGACAGAATATCATACTTAAACACTGTTTCAAGTTACCCTTATTCTGCCTCCTCGTAAAATTATGTGAGAAGTCGGGGTAAACTGATGTGCGAATTCAGGTTTGAGTCAGGGAAATTCCATACTGTGTTTATATCACATAACCAGTGCAAACAGCGTGCAGACAAGAAAGCAGCTTCATACTCCTTTCTGCTTAAAATAATGATCTTTTCCACTTTTTATGTTGATACTGTGGATACGTCCAATAACACATAGCATTGATATAAAGACAAAAACTGTCATTATAGTGTGTGTGTGTGTCTCTGTGTAGGTGGGAGATATGGTCTATATGGTCAAGGCCACAGCAGAATTGCCTCTTCCTTCCCCTCTCACTGCCAGGCCCAGTTCTAATTTAGTCTCCGTCCTGCAAAACTCTGGTAAGAATCGTTCAGAACAACAAAATTAATGTAAGTTTTAATTATTGAACATTTGAATGCAAATATCTTCCAAAAAGAAAGGGTAAGTTTTTTCTTAGTGTACTGTTTATTGTTATCATCTTGTTTGATTACAACATGGTAAGATTGTATTCAAATTTAGGAGGTAATATTCTCTCTCCATACATGAAGTAAAGTACTTATAGTAAATAGTATCAATAAATATCAACCCTGAGGTTTTTTTTGTTTCTAGTAACAGACCCAGCTGTGTGTGTGTCAGTACTGAGCCTCCGCTGCAGGGTGGGCCAGGTGTGCGAGGAGGTCCTGTGCGTGCCGCTTGTCAATATGGCCTGGGAGCAAGCTCTGGCCATCTGGGGTCGGCACAGCATGAGTGCAGATGAACACAGGAGGCGGATGCTGACACACACTTTGCACAGCAGCACTGTTAGGGCAACCACAGCTGCTCGCAAGCTTCTCAAACATCAGGTACACACACACACATGCATCTGGAAGCGTGTCTTTGGATGAATCTTGAGAATATTAAACTAGCTGTCCATCATTTTTTCCTCTTACGCCACACAGATGGGAGGTGTTCCAGACAGAAAAGAACTAGAATACAGTGTGGAGGTGTCTTTGCCACAATACTTCACATTACCCAGTGCTGTTACAATACCTATAAAAGAAGAAACCAACATACCATGGGAGAATCCTACAGGTACACACATAAAAAGAGGCTCTATGGTTGTATCATTGAAGAAATATCATTGACTTGGCTGATCCATTCAGCAGTACGAGCTTTATTTATGGTCATACAGCCCTTTATGGTGTAAAATCAAAGTAGGTAGCCAAGTTTATTTGTAAATCCTTGTTTGTTTTTGTTGCAACTGAAGAACATTTACAATTAGACAGATTTTAATGAGGTTGAGTTTAGGAAATATTTTCACACACATGGAAACAAGTGTTAATAACAATGCTGCATGAAAAGAGACTCGAGAGGTGGAAAGTCCCACAGCTCCTGGTTTTGGATGAACTACAAAATGTTAATCAGCCACTGACATGTAGGGGTTCCCATTCACCGACAACAAAGTTCCACAAAGTACTAATTTGTTGTTTCGCAGTGCAACATTAAGTAAAACAGGCTTTAGATTGAAGATTTTTATTTTACAGCTGGAGATATAGTAAAGAAAATATTTTAAGCCCGTTTTTTTGTTGGTCTTGTTGGTCTTGAGGAAACATAGGAAATATTCCTGAGTTCCACAAAAGGTTTGATAATGTACTGTTGGTATTTAACCGATGTCACTGTCCACACTTTCCTTAATTTGTCCACCTGCTCTCCTCCCTGCATCGTCCTTGTGTTCAATAGATTGTGGCTGTGTGGACATCCCATTACGGTTCCAGGCAGACTCTGTGGGGCGATTTACCTGCCAGGTGGTCCTACATTCCTTGTGTGATACTAGGGTCTATGTGTTAGAAGCAGATGTTACTCCTAAGGTACATATACTAATGAATTGAAGCTTTTACCTGTAAAAAAAAACAAAAAAACAATGAAGTAAAGCTGGATTACATATCGGTCCATGTGGTTATTTTTAATGTTAGCAGAACAAATCATCTGTTCCCACAGGGAGGATCTGTCCACTTGGACTTCAGGTCGCCTGCTCACCGTTCAGTCACACAAGACATACCACTGGTGGGGGGGGGGGAGGAGGTTTTAATCAGTCTGTGTCTGGGAAGTACTTCCTAAGGGATATTAAAAAAGGCATTTGAACAATTATGATTGGTTATAGAAAGTATTAACATAATGAGAAACTTGTTTCTGGGAAAAGAGATGGTAAATGTACTACAGCAGTAAACGAGCACAGACAAAGTGTATTTTGGTATTAATTTCATCACTTGACTAATGACATAAACATGCACAATGTTTGTAATCAGAGAAAGACATGATATAAATGTAGAATAGATCAATTATTTTATAATTGGACATTTGTGTTTCTTCTAGCACAATGAAACCCACCAAGACTGGAAAATGCACGCTGAGCTGTGTGGTGAAGGATTCTCCGGCCCAAAGGTTGTGAATGTGCCAGCAGGGACAAAAGCAAACCACCCACTCACCTTCTAGCCTTCTGCTCAATGCAAAGTCATTGTAATACCTTTTAAGTTCTTTCATGGAGTTTTTATTATTAAATTAATTTGATTTCTTGTTTTTGGTCTAGTTTTGGACCAGTTTTCAGTTTGATTTTCAAAATATAAGGTCAAAAAAGATTTTGTAAAGTTACATTTTTACATGCAAGAATGCATGCTGTATGTATTAGGCACTAAATTATAGTTTTTGCTCCTTCTGTTGTGGTTTTGGCGTTCCTTATACACATGCTGTCTCCCACATTCACAAACCACATAAAAAGAAAAGACAAGAAGAAGAAGAAGCTGCCAAGATGGGAGACTGCAAGTTTGAGAAGATTCTCCTTCAAATTAATTGTAATTAATTGTACTGTGAACTGTTAGCTGTCACGTGTGATTTTGACTCTACTTTCAAGATATGTCTGAAAAACGTTTTACCTGGGACAACAGAAATACAAGCAGCTGAGTACTATTTGAATCAGAAAAGCACAGACACTCTGATGGTATAAGAAAAACTGTGATCAATGGATTCTTAAGTCTGCTGCTACAATATCATCAGCTCCTTTATGATCACAGACTGCTCATTATGGCCTCTTCTTGCGTCTGTGTTTATATTTTCATCAATTAAATCTGCAGGCTGAAGAGTTTTGAGTTTTGCAAAGAGGACCTGCATACAGATATTTTCCTGACTCAGATCATCAAGAGGATCCCTTGTGACGGAGATAACACATATAGCTGGATTATTTAAGAACTAAACAAGTGAACAACTCGTTAGTGTGATTTGTGATGTAATCATGATTAAGACAACAAGGAAGAAACAAGATCTTTGCATAAAGGACCATCAGTCAGATGGGAAGATGGTTACTAAAGTTGAGCTGACTTGAAATCAGAATATTTTTACGTATATCTGTTTGTTTTTTAATGGTACCTGTGTTATCATTGTTTCAGTAGCAATTCAGGGTCTGTACTTCATCATGTATTGCAATAGTACTAGGTTAGAGCCATGAAATTAGACCAGAGGTGTAACAGTAAACATTAAAAAGTATGTAGATTGTACCTTTCCTCTTCCACATGCGTCACTTTATAAGGATTTAACGGTAATTCTGTGTGGTTTTAATCTGTTGTTAAAAGTAGTTGAAGGACTTAACTTATCTACCTGAAACTATTCTTACTGTTCAACCTTCAATAAACAATCATATCACAAAATTTTAGATCATGCACATCGACCGAGATGTCCCCTCTGCATTTGACTACTGTTTAAATGATTTATGTTTACATGATATATGTTTAAATATACCTTTTATCTGCTGAAAAAAAAAACGTTTTGTCTTTTAACACTTATCGTAAGAACCTTAAGAAAGGGAAAAATATATTATTCTTTTACAAACGTAAGGAAATCTAACTGGAAAAAAAAATGTATGTTGCATTGGCCGGGAATCGAACCCGGGCCTCCCGCGTGGCAGGCGAGAATTCTACCACTGAACCACCAATGCATTCACATAGTCATCTATAGTGGGCGGGGCTTAAATAGGAAACACCTGGATGCAGCCAATCGTTATTTTTGTGCATTATTATCCGATGATCGTAGTTGGTTGATTGACTGTCCATCATAAGGTCGACGGCTTCAAACAAATATTTGTAAATGTATAAATACAAGAAGTGCATACATTCTAAATGTATTTAAGGAAAAAGCACTACATGTTAGAAAAAAAACTAGGTAAAATAACAACATATAAACACAGTTAATACAATCGTAGTTTTTAAAGTCTACGATCGTGTCCCACAAGTGCAGGCAAATGCCGAAGTATTTCATTCTGTCCCACAAGTGCAGGCAAATGCCGAAGTATTTCATTATTGTGCCAAAGTTACCTGACGTGAACACAGGTTGCCACCGGTTGTTATTCCCTTGAATACTGCGTTAGAGGTTCGGTTTGTCGTTGTCTTCGTTTGTGCACAGTTAAAATTGAACTCCCGGAGTCGAGAGTTGTTTAGCTAAAAAGCCCTAAACCGTTCCCCATTCATTCTCTATGGTAGTGCTAAACCACTACGGATGTAATATACTTTTGGCCACTACGACTTAGTGGCGCTGTCCCGAGTTTTTCTTCAGAAGTCGCGCGCCCTCAGAACCTGTCATTCAGAGCGACACTATCTACTTTCTTCGAATTCTCATCACGCAGTATTCACTAATCAAAGGTAAGAGACTTTGTTTGGCATAAATTTAAAACTATAGGGTCAATTTATGGACTTTTCACCCGGGGTTTCATAGCAGGTAGTTCGTTTATGTACAGGACTATGTGCAGGACTTTACCGGCTTTTCTCTGTCAGACAATATTGGTGCAATAACGTGATAAATTACACTATCAAACTTGATTTAACAAACAAACGTTATCTATTTAATGGTCAAGTAAAGTAAACTTTTATCAGGACCATGGGTGTTACACTATCTTTCAGAGTCAAATTAAGTCTTAACTACAATATCAAATGTCATTTTGTTCCTCAGTTATTTGATAGGAACTCCTCTCCTGCCCCATTTGCCCACTCTCCAAACTCATACACTTAAACTCAGGTGCTTAGGCACACAGTTTTTTTCCCACATCTACTGCCCCTCTCACTCCCCCCTCTATTCTTGCTCACACATGCTGTGCCTCATTGGAAGATGACCAGCTGGTTGGCTTTGGCACTCGTGCTAAGAACACCTGGAAGGAGATTTGGGACAGCAGAGCTGATGGCTATATAGCTGATAATATAATTTTTTAAAATGAAAATCTGCTTTTAAGATTAATACTTTCAGTCCTACAAGTTTTTAATGATTGGTGTGGGCTTTGTTTTGTGTTACAGATCTGCTTTAGTCTGGGGTGCCTCTGTCTGCTTCAGCTGCCTCTCTAAGTTCATTTTAAATGTTCACCTTTGATCTGTACTTTGTCTTGTTTGAGGCAACTGCAGAAAAAACTCTCACACATGTAGCATGTGGCAAAGTAAGGAGTGTAGCTATCTTTTCTAACCGCTGTTGTACAGCTAGAGCTGAGGGCAAGATATGACTTACCATATTTTCTTGTCTTTGTTTTCAAAGTTGTGACTTCTGCTGTAGATTAATTGTCACCCTGGCATTTACCTGGAAGTCCTACAACACAATTTGCCATGCTTTGCTGGCAATGCAAAACGATGTGGATTGCTTTTATTTAAGCTCGATGCCTTCAACTGTCATAACCATGGGCCCCACTTTGGGAATCACTGGTTTAAGAGGATGTTAAATTAACCTTGTATTTATAACTTTCACTGAATGTTCTGATGCTGCTTTTTATCTTATACCACCCTACTTCCACCCACCATCCATTATAACTTGCTTGTAAATTAAACTATTTTCATGAAAAAAATTGAAATTTATTGTCTTTTTTACTGCTTGGAATTAAAATAATATAGCTTCTTTTCAACTTAAATGTGCCATTTATATACAAAACCTTCTGTCTCATATGCTTTATGGGGTCTGAATAAAAATGCTAAGATGTACTGCTGCCAGTTCACCAACATGGACATTTTAATGCGGTTTCAAACTTTTATATTACTTTTTAGAAGGTGTGCATGATTTAATCTGTATACAAAACAAGGAAATCAATGACATATTCAGATCTTAGTAAATAGTAGTAACTTAGATTTTTAAACTAAAATGATTTATACATGTACTTCAGGTACTTCACTCTCAATAAACAAGGTAACAACAAAGGGAATCTATTAAAGTCAATATTAAACAATGTGTTTCATCACAACACAATCATAGCCTAAATCACATCTCAGATTTGTCTCAGTGGGGATTTGAACCTTCACTAAACAAGCATTCGAACACCTTGGATTAAAAAAAAAAATACTTTAATCCTATTGGCTGATTTTCTGTTACAGCTATTCGCAACCATGTTCGCAACTTGCCCCCGCATGACTACCTGGACTTTATCCCTTCACTTACAGGGCGAGCTGTCTTCGCACAATGACTGCGACGGTACTGTGCTCGTGTTTACCCTCAGAGGAGTTGGAGAGCGCCCCCTGCCTGTGGACCGTGTGGTATTACATTGCTCTGTGGGAAACACCACACGCACGCAACTGGATGTACCAAATCACAGCCGAAAGACCCAAACTCTAAAGGTACAACGAGCACACATGCAAAAAGCAAATTATATTATAAAGAAGTGAGTGCAGACATAGTTTTAGCTCTTAGGTTTTGTATTTAACATGTCAACATGTTTATGGTTCTGTCGTTAGATCTGCAGTCAGTTTACATAAATATGAACACAGGTATGTGCCGATCAATCACATGGAAAGAAGATATTTTACATGGATTAATGGTTGGACCATTAAGCTCTGACAGCCATACTATAACAAATGAGTTCATTGTTTCCCTTTAGTATCAGCTCTATCCACAATGTGTATCTTTGCATTTTTGGGCTTTTGGGGCCATTAGAAGTAAGGTGTTATACAATGGCCGGAAATTGAGGTATTATAGTGAGCAAGATTTATTTAACTTTGAACATGGTGGTCTTAAATAAAAATAAAACTTATACTGAAGAATACACAATGAAGTTAATGAACTATGAAAATCCTTGAAGTCATTTGATTGTGTATGTCATGTATTGTAAGCAATTTGCAAATTAATGAGCATCTATTGTGTGTGTTTCTTCTTTTCCGTATTTATGCTTCTTCTCTATCTTTGCTTTGTGTGTCACACACACACACACACACACACACACACACACACACACACACACACAAAACACATGAATGCAGGTGGTGACAGACCTATCTGTTGTAAGTGGCACCTCCACCCTGGAGATCAAGCCTGGTCACAGTGCTTCGTACTCCCTGGTTGTGTCACCACGGAAACGAGGAAAACAGACAGGTAATTTTTTATCCCTGCTGCGTGTTTGCGATTGTGGGCTTTTAAGGTGTGTAAATATGTGATGTGGAAGGCAGCTGCGCTCAAATGTCACCTTTATCTGTCTACTCTAGTCCTTTACAGTTGCTTAAACAGATGCAAACATAACTTATACCGTTTGTTTCCATAACTTTAATGCCTCTTCAGTTTCTTTGTTACCTGTATTTCTTTAACTTTTTCATACATGTACAGTAGGCCCGCCAGCACAGCTCAGCAAAATATACGTAGGATTTGTAAGGAATTTTGATGTATTTGTGTGTGTACAAAATGCTCACTGTGAATGATACATTAATTGCTACAACAGAATAAAGATAACACATCTACAAATCTAAATCAAGAATACATTTATATTATAATAAATGAACAAACAATTCAAAAAACTAAACTGAGCAAAACTTCTTGCAGGCTGTGTGTCATTTGTAGAAATTAAGGAATTGCAAGACCGTGACAAGCATGAAGGTAAGATTAGTTTCTCTAGATATGTAGGCAATTAAAAGCTCCAAGAGATAAAGCCAAATCTTGCAAGTATGGTGTTCAGATTATAATTCAAATCATGCCAACATGTTAATGCATATACAGTTTATTCAAATGTATGGGTTTGTGTGTGCCTGTAATCCAGCAAATGCACTGGGACACTATGAGGTGCATTTCTCTCTGGAGATAATTTGTGAGCCAGCTGCACCCATCAAGGTCAGAGATGTGCTGTGTGTTGCTCAGGTAAGTTCTGCAAACATACATGCACAGCTGTATATTTACTAATCCTGTTACAAGTATATTTAAGTGGCAGAAACATTAGCATGTTAAATAGAGTTTCTATTAAGAGTACAGATGTAAATAAATCCATCCATAGTTCATCTGATTATTACAAAAGAGACCAGCTGGTGGACTGATGTAACACATGTTGCTCATGTCTAGAAAGCAGTGAGGCACAAAAACATGCAGCATTTTCAACACTAGGGTTTTATCTGATTAAATATATGAGTTAATGGTGGTTAAACAACAAAAATATCAGTTGGGGAAGATTAAGCTCTGTTCACTGGAAAACTTGTTTCATCTTATCTGTAGAAAACCTCAATATAATGATGATGATGGCTTCAAAATAAATGAGAACAAACACAGTTTGGCAGTTACACACCTGAGATAGTATTGCAAATCTCCTTTTATATCCCCCTTAGGATTTTAGTTTAATTAAAGAAATGTCTGCTGTTTCAAAAAGCACAAATGCACCCTCCAAATTGCAAAAAAAATTAACTTTCATGGCTGCTATGTTGGCTTTTACTTTTTAAAATGTGTCCAACTATTTTTTTCTGGTAAGGATTCAAATGGGCACAGAAACAGACTTCTTCAATGTGATCTAGGTCAGAGTTCAGATAGAAGCATTTTGTTTTTAGAGCAACATGGTAGCCGTAGCCTAAGTAAACAAGGATCATTTTCTAATAAAATAGTTTTTCACCATCCAGTTGTGCAGTGGTGAAAGATCAATATTCTATGGTAAAGCTATGTTAAGTAAGCCAGGCACTAAAATCAAACCAGCTTTCTGAGCATTTTTCTGTAGCTTGTTACTTGATCCATTTTGAAAGAAAGTGCCAAGAGAAGATTCCGTTCAGGATAATTATTATCACATAAGAAGTGCCTCTGCTGCTGGCTACTGTTACAGGAAGACTTTATCTTCCATCTACACTAAGATCAAAAGACCTATCATAACATCACAGGAGGAAGCAATAACAGGTGTCATCTTTGAAATATTCCCAGAGCTCAGTTGCCATAGAGATCCCTGTCAGTAACCCACAAGGAGAGCTGCTGAGGCTGGATGCGTTTCTGGAAGGAGATAACCTGAGCGGAGCCAACTGGGTTTCAGTTCCCCCACGGGAGACTCTCACCTACAAAGCTACGTTCTCCCCTGTTAGAGTGGGGAAGAGCACAGGCAGGTAAGACTCACTGCACTGTAACTGACCCCACCTGCTTTAAAGGAGGATGTAAAGAAAAAATAAGACTGAGTGGAAGTGAAGTTCATAAAATGCTGTTTGAATGATCTATAAAGGAATATTTTACTATAAATCATTCTTGGTAATTCAACACACTGCAGCACCATATTCACATAGCGAGCCATTTTCTTTGCAGTTGTATAAATATATAAGGAATCTGACCAATTTTAATCAGTTGATCGACGATAAATCATGAAAATCTTGACAGGCAGTGGGATATACAACACATTTAAAAACCCATTAGCTACTGTTAAAGAAAACCTTCAACATGTTGCTACTATTTGATCATTATTGTATGTTATTAGTATAGCATGCTCACTGCATCTTAATCTGTATATTATTAGTATAGCATGCTCACTGAATCTTAATCTGTATATTATAATCCTAAGAACACACTTATTTTGTAGCATTACTTATTTATAGCATTTATTTATATTTATTGCATCCCATTAATCCAGCCATCCAGATTTACCTAATAATTCACTTTTTTTTTGTCTACATCTGTAAATTTTGTAATTACTGTACATAGCACAGACTCTTGCACTTTCTGCTTATTTGCACTTCTGGTGAGATGCCAAACCTCATTTCGTTACTCTATACTTGTATATGTGTAATGACAATAAAGTTGAATCTCATCTCATCTCATCTCATCTCATTATATGGTATACAAGTGTAGCACTAGCTAACATTGCAGAATGGCTGCTGTGTGAATATGGAGCACATGGCAGGTGATTTATGTGTCCATTTTGAACAATGTTTTTTAATCTGTAATATATCTTCCGGTGTTGGCATTTGTTGGATTGTGTTTTCTGCCAGTGTGTTGTTCCAGTCAGAGCTGGTGGGGGAGTTCTGGTATCAACTGGAGCTTTATGCTCTTCCTCCTCCAGTCATCAAGCTGCCACAGGCCTGCTGTCATCTGGGCAAGTAGGTGCACTCACACCAACAAACAATATCTCACTGCAGGGTTATTGGCTAGGATTGAATGCACACATACTGTATAAACAAACTGTGGATTTGTTCCTAGCTGCAAACATATCTGCAGGATTTTCCCCACAACTCAGTGGTGTGCGTTGTTGCTTGGCCGGTTCTGTATTCCAAAATGAAGGCTTTGGACTCTGAAACATCCCACAATAACCTTTAGGTTTAAAACAGAAAGTGGCCTGCTTACTGCTTTATTTGCTAGAAATAAAGTTTGATGTGAAAATAATTTGAACAGTTCACATTCACAAACTGTGACAGAGACTTTATCCCAAGTTCACAGCCTTTCCTGCCATACATACTGTACATATCATCAAACAAGAAAAAAACAGTTTGTTGAAGTTTGCGATCACGTTCTGTAGTCAGCATGTGTGCATTAGGGCTACAGTGAAAATCTTTTCTTGAGCAAACAGTTAAGAGAAAGAAACAGCTATAGCAATGTTAGCCCTGATTTTATTCCTAATGGAGCACCTCAATATGGCAATCTATAATGGTGATACTTTGAAAAGGTGTCAACAATCTTATATTACTTAAGGCTGTTTGTTTCAATGTCACACCTGCATCTTTGAAAATGTTATGCTTCACTAAACCCATTTCCTTGTAGGCACATCGTACTGAATGTACAAGTCTCTAGAATCACTTTGTCTGCCAGAACATTTCTGTGCTAGATAGGAGAAAAGATTTTTTACACAAGTCCACTCTGAGTTTAAATAAGGACGTCTAATGAACAGAGAGATAGTTTACCACACTAATGAATTGCAATTAAAGCTGCATATCAATTGAGCACACTGCTAATTAGCTCAGTAAATGATAAATGCAACATTTGGTCCTTTCAGGCATTCACTCCTTTACCCTAAGGCCTTTTTTTTTACTTTGAGTTTTTCCTCCATGCCTTGACGGCAGGATAAGCTTCACTTTTATTTTTGTATCACTTCTTTATAATTGACTTTTCATTATGAGAGAAAAAATAGCAAAATGTCACTGTGCTTCAAGGTCAGTTAAAACTAAAACATCTGGGTTTTTTTCAACCCTTTTTCTGATATTTGGAACTTCCTGATGTTAACCTTTGTTATTTTGTTGTGTCTTTTTCACCTCACTAAAAAAAGGTGTTTTGTGTTTGGCAGGTGGATCAGACAGACCATTCCCTTGGTAAACCCAACAGCTGAGACTCTGAAGATAAGTGTAGCCAACAGTAACCCCAGAAACTATGCACTGGAGATGGATTCATCAAGCACAGTATGAACACACTCTCAGACTCACATCATTTCTGTTGTTGTATCAGAGCCATATTTCATCTCATTATGTAAATCATTTGTCACCTTATACATAAAAAGTCATTTCTGCCTCTTGGGACCTTGACTTACATGTGATTTTGATTTCTATTGTAGTTCAGTGGATTTTTGATTGTATTCACTTTGCATTGGATATCTTAAACAAACCATGCATACACCAACACACTTGATAACACAGTTGTTGTCAGGATAAAACAAACAGGAGTCTCTGTTGTCCGTGAGAGTAAAAGAGAGCCCGGATAAAAAGCTGTGGGTTGCCGAGAAGTGTGATTTCAAGGATTTATCTCTTAAAGCATGAAGTGTGTTTATCCTCCCTTACTGTCCCCATAAAAGCGACGCTCTGTGTTTGTTTATTGCTGTATGTGTGTGTGTGTGTGTGTGTGTGTGTGTGTGTGTGTGTGTGTGTGTGTGTGTTCCAGCTTATTGTGGAGCCCCACTCCTTCTCCCAGCTTGGTGTCCGTTTTAATCCTTCATCCATCGGAGAGGGGACCCACACGGCAAAGATCACTTTCATGTGCCCTCAGGTGTAAACACACACACACAAACACACAGGGAGAAAGTGGATAACATAGATCACAGTCCCCTGCCTTCACACACACAAACAGACAAGAACACACACAGACACACTAAAATGCAGAAAAAGCTGATTCCTTTTCTGTCTTATTTAAGTTAAAGCAGGTGCTCTTATTTATTTTAAGGCCTCCCTCACCCAATCAAACACATTAAGCTTTGAGCAATCACATCACTAGATGGATCTTTTCATGGTCCAGATTGTCGTTTATTAAAGAATACAGGAGGCTGCTCACTCGGCAGTGTGATGTAAACAATATAAACATTTATTTCCACACCTTTTCCTTTCATTTTTATGTAATGTCTCTCCCTCTGGGTTACTTCCTATGAGTTAATCTGTCTCCCCCCCCCCCCCCTTTAGTTGCAGGAATGGTGTGTGTTGCTGAGTGGGCGAGGCCTTAAACCGCAGAGCCAGGAGCCTCTGAGCATCTCATCCTCCATTGGCTCCAAATCCTCCATCACCATTCCCTTCACTAACCCCACTGAGCTCCCAGCCGTGCTCAGTATCGCACTCACAGGTCACGGAAACTTCTTGTCCTTCTCTAACACACTTTGTCACTCGTTGGCTCTTGTTGCTCGACATTCAGACATGTTCATTAACACTGTGTGTACGTGATATTTTACATGTATCAGATGCGGATCCAACTGGGGGGGCAAACTTCCACCAAGCTGCTAGGCACAAGGAGGCTTTCTCTGTGGCTCTGAGCCACTCTGAAGGTGTTTAACCAATAGCGTTTCATTGTCATTCAGCTTGTGGATAACATTTCAACATTATAGTACATCCCGACTTTTTCACGACTGTGCATCTGTCCTTCATCTCGGCTGCAGGTGTACAGATCAGTGAAGGAGCCGGTCTGGATGTGCCTGTGATGTTTGAACCTAACTCAATGGATATACATCAAGTCTGGCTCTGCATCACTCTGAACCCCCACAACAGCAACAACAGTACCTTAAGTACCGACCACATGAGGTTTGTCTCTTAATGTCATTAAAATTAGCTAATATTAGCGGCCGTTTACGTCTACCTGCTCAGACCAAAAGCCAGCAAGAGCGCCTCTGATGTTTAAAATGTCTAGGTGCCCTCTCCTACACGGCCAGTGTTTAATATTGATACTAAAAGATGAGAAAATAACAGCACTTGTACAAACCAGGCCACCAGGGTCCCCAGGGGAAAAACAGACATATTACCCATCCAACCAGAGACAGAGAGAAGTACACCCTTCAACAAACAGCTTGCAGATCTGCAGCTTTTTTGCTGGTTATCACACATTTCTTTAAAAATGGATGATTGAATTACGATAGAAGTTTTTAAATGAAATATATGTCCTCACAATTGGATACTATGGGGCACCACAATGCTGATTATGAGTCACAAACCACTGGTCTATTCCAGACATGTTTTTTTGTACCATATGAGAATGTGACAACACATTGCAAGCAGTGTAATATACCCCAAATTTTGTTATCCATCCTCTTTTTTTAAAGCTCTTCCATTGTATCTTGGTTTTTATTGTGGGTACTTCCCTGAGTGTGAGTCTTTCACAGGGCTTCAACAACGAAAAACACTTTCACACTCCTTTTCACACCTTGGATAGGAGAGAAAGGCCATGCTGGAGTTCAGTAGTCGATTACATTTTCAGTACTGCACATGGCTTTAGCGAAGTTACAGCTAGTAAGATAAACAAATACTGGTTGATTGTTAGTTTTAAAAAAATGTATAAATTGATAATACACTCCTTTTTAGGTCTGAGCAGGAATTGTCAACCATCTGTTGGATTTACCCTCTTCGTGGGATTCCTATTGAAACGGCTGTTGAGAACCCGCCACTTGGCGTGCTTGGATGTGAAGCGGGCTGCCAACTGGAGAAGAAGGTGGATGTACTGCTCACTGGGTGTGTGGCGGGGAATCAAGATCGGAAAGGAGAAGGAGGTATGGGCCAGTTTGAGATCAGAAATATTTTTGGAAAAGTTACTTTTTATACCATTTTACAACGGTGGAATGATGAGGTTGATGATTAAAGTCAAACATTGTTTTTTGCTGGACTATTTCTTAACATGAGACAGCAGAAATGAGCAGCAGTAAATGAGAATCGAGAGAGTTCAGTTCTCTGATAACGAGATGAGATGTGGCAGGATCTGTCTGATTCAGCTCTGTGTGATTGATTAATGATCTGATTGGTGTTGGCTTTACACTAACCTATCAGAGCAGCACATTGCAATTACACATTAGAAAACACAAGTCGGGAAAAATGTAAAATGGACCAGTAAGCCACCATCTTCTTTTATTCTGGACAGAATCGCAGTTGATAAAAGAAGACTTCCAGTGTGAGGTTCGTTCAGATGGTGAAACAAAGCACTCTGAGGTTCAAGACTCCCTTTCTGCTTCCATTGAGGTAGTGAGCAAGGACCCTGAGACTGGCATCGTAACACTCACCCTGAATGTAGTCTACACTCCCCTCAGGCCATCCAGGTAACAGCACTGCACACACACACACACATATACACACACCTTCAAAGAAAACACGACACATAAACAGGTACGCTGTAAAATGAAATACACACTGAAGTTTCTTTTTGGGAAGACTCAGAAGCTTTTCAGTTGAATCCTGTTGTTCTTCCTTTAAATCCACTCCACTGCTCGTGTAAGCGGTTAAAACAAACCAACATCTCGCACACTCTGGGAAAGGCATCAGAAATACAAATACGCATACTAAAAAGAAGCGTACCGGCCCCTTTGAAGGAAGACAAACAACAGAAACATGCTGCATTAAAAGTAAAAAAACACACTATGGGATGCACATAGAGGTGAACACAAACACTCATTACCTGACAGAACAAAACCCACACACACTGTGAGAGTATTATGCAGACTCTAAGAGAGCCACACAAGCGTGTCAGAAGTTGAAAAAGCACACACTCACAAGAAAGAATAAGAGGCACAAAACACTCTCCGAGAAACAAATACGCACACATCTGTGTAGGAATACAACAAAAGGATGCTAATAATATGTCAGCAAAAACAAAACAGGCACGTTCTCACACACAGACAAACAAACACAATCTGTTGTTCGTCTCTCTCTACAGATAACACACTGGAATTGAGCAGTGGGTTGAAACACTGCATTCATTTATCTCGTCCTTCTCCCTTTCTATTTTCTCTCTCAGATGGGTGTGGCCTCTGCATTCATTTATTACTTACTGTCTACTTGTGCTGAGTCTTAATGTTTGTAGCTAAAGGATGCTGTGTACTGTTGGAGGTAGAGAGGAAGGCCAGCTCATTAGCTGCTCTGCTGCTTTAACAGTACTAGAAATGTTCAAATCCCCATAGATGACACATTAGCTTTGGTGTGACCTAAAAACATTTGGTACATTTTTTTAGCATCAAAACACCAGGGGTTCCACTCTTCCTCCTCCTCCTCCTCCTCCTCCTCCTCCTGCTGTTTTTAATCAAACCACATTCATGCCTTTTAGGTTGAACTTATATTTAAAAAGCTTTCGGTGCAGGGATGTTTCTCACAACTAACAGTACGAAACCACTCATCTCACTCATTCTCTATCAACCACATTGACGGCTATTTTAAATGTGTAGCACTTTGCAATTGCATTACTCAGCGGTGAAGTGAGGTCAAATTGTGATTTGAATGTGCATCACATAACGTGCAGGAAAATAACAAAGAAACTCCACATATTGTTACAACCACTTTCCTTGGTTGAATTTCAGTTTCTCCATGGCAGCTCATATGCAATGGAAGTATTCTGTCTGATCTCACAGTTAAAAGTCACAGTTTACTTATTCTCTACTGTCCTGCCTACTGTACATTGCATGTGATGTCCTGCTGAGTGAGGAGTGCATTCATTTATCAGCTTCTGCCTTCATCTGTGGAGTCCATTAATGAGGCGTGCCCTGGTAGAATCAATACCTCGGAGAGCTAATGACTTCTCCATGAGGAAATGACGGGGGGTGTGATGCTGCTAATAGGCTCTTCCATTATCTCCGTGTTATTTCTGTGCCGTGGGCAGCCAGACGAGGAGGCCGAGTATCATGAGCTGAGAGCGGGAATATTAAAGACCAGTTTAGAGAAACGTGCTTTCTGTTTAGATAAATAGGAATGCTTCAATTACAGTTTTTGATATAAATAAGAGAAGTGGGATGAATTTAAGAGGTGCTGGAAAGCAGAGGTGTTTGTCTGTGTGCAGTGGAGGGCCGGCTGTATAAAGTTTTTTCTTCTCCAGTAGTTAAAGCCTCTTCCCATTAATACATGATATCAACCTGCATACATCTGGCCCTCCATAACACATATGAAGTATCCATGCTCTATTGTATGTTTCAATAACCTGCCAAAGTGACTGGAAACTAGTATCTCTCCATAACGTTTTTTTACATCGCACAGCTATGAATTAGCATTAATCTCACATTCAAAGTACTGCTTATATGGTACTTTTGGTATGGTACTTATATTTGGGGTATTTAAAATAGAGCACATGAATAAGAAAGAAACTAATTCTAATAATGCAATAAACACTTGTATGAGACACTGTATGTATATTCACAACTCAAACATGTAGGATAGGTACAGATGTACAGCAGTGCTAGTCACCTCTGCCTTCTACATTTGTTTTGTTTGTTTTGTAACAAATCCAGCCAAAAATACTTGTGACTCCTAATTTACTCATATTTAATGCAATAATACATATATCGCGCATTTCTATTGTTTTGTTTTTAGATGATTGTGTAGCAAAAGGAAGCAAATCAGATTCATATAAAATAATTTGAACAGCATGAAGACTCACAATAAAAAGCAAAGATGTGTATCTACGTGTTCAGGTTTGCAGCTGTCTTAGCTGTGCAGTGTGTGTCTGGTGAGATCTGGGAGTTTCCAATTACTCTCGTCGCCACGGAGCCTCAAGTCGATGATGTCATCCTCACTGAAGCCACTGAGCTGGGAACGACTTCAGCTGTGGGCTTCCGCCTGACCAGCACTACCAGGTGTGTGTGTGATTATTTTTCTTATTTCATTCACTCTTATTCCATTGAACATTTCCTAATAATTAAATACAAAGATCTTTTGAACCAGGAACTCAAAGTCCCTAATGCACTTTTCCTATAGATAAGTTCTAGTACAAATGAAGAAACAACAGAGGATTTGAAATGTGGAAAGAAGTAAACAGTGATCCTATATTTGAATTAGGGCTGGGCGATATGGACCAAAACTCATATCTCGATATTGTTTAGCTGAATGGCGATACTCGATATATATCCATATGTATTTAACAGTATAACACATGGAAAAATAAACTACCTGTTTGTGAATTTTAAAAGTAATATTAGAAAATAAAAATCTTCCTTAAATACAATAAAAGAGAGAGAGAGGAGGAGCAGGGTTAAGAGGGACAGACAGTCAGTCATCATCAGTGACATGAGAAAAAAGTGACCTGGCACCTCGAGAACGTTATTTTAATGCAACTTAAACTATATCCATATTAACTATATTGTCTTACCCTATATCTTGTTTTAAAATATATCGATATATCTTAAAAACTCGATATATTGCCCAGCCCGACTTTGAATGGATGTAATTAAAGAATACAATGTGACATTGAAACTAAACGGAAAACTTTGGAGCATCTTGTGGAAGTGTTATTCAGTACTTCTTTGTACAGCACTGCTGTGAAAAAACATCAAATCAAGCTTTCTTCTCTTGGCTACTCGCTTTGTTCTTATTCGCTGCTCCGTTTCTCTCTTTTACTGATTCCAGTTCTCAGCTTGAGCTCACACTGACATACTTTCTTTATCAGGTTCAAAGACGAATATCACAGCTTTGCTTGTAAAGTCAATGAACAGTAGACAGTGCAAGATGTGTCTACATGAGGCACCTACTTTATGGCTTGTTTGTAACTAATCATGTTATCTGTTTTCTGCATCATGGGATTATTTCTTGTCATGCAGTGACTTTGATGTTTTGGTTCCAGGAGGCCAGAGCCCTTCACAGCAGCGTTCTCGCCTGGTAGCAGCAGTGAGTTCACAGTGACCCCAGCCTCAGGGATGTTACCTCCTGTTGGTTCTGCTGGAGCTCTCATCACTGTGTCCTTCACTCCCAACACATACAGCATGCACAGAGCCAGACTGACCATCCAGGTATTTTCACTTTTTAACAATCACGATGACTTTTGAGTCAAGTTGTCGTTTTGCTTCATGACCTTGATAGTTGGTTGAAGACTTAGTAGTAGTAGTAGTAGTAGTTAAGTTATCTGGTCATTATATTTTTCTATCAAAGTTTGTTAGAGTTTTTATTACTTTTACAGAAATGATAAATCTACTTCATTGAGACCAAATCCCTTGCATGACTGACAGCTGAACTATCTTCTTAAAGGCAGTAGACATGCAGTGGACCTATGATGTGAGAGGGAAAACCCTTCATGACCCCTCTGCACCACTTCCACCGCATCAAGCAAATGATCAGCGGCGTAACCTTGTGGCTCAAAACCTTCGGCTCCCCGCCCTGGATAACTCCTCTCCTGTCAAAATTTGCAACATTTACCAAACAATGCCACCTTAAATTGCAGCGATAGCTTTTGACTCATAAATCTAATTCAGCCAGCTAGTTGTCACATTTGTGATGGGTTTGTCCCTTTTTCTCTTTAAGTGGCTCATTAGTCTTCTTAGTGTTTCTCATAAGCATTTCTAATGAGTTATCTGTCTGCCAATACAAAGATGTTTTTTGTGTAGTTTGTGGCAACATTTTAGGATGATGATGATGATGATGATGAAAACATTACAATGCATGAAGTGTAATTAATACCCAGATTTCTCATTCTCTATTATTAGCATGAATGTAATGGGTACAGTCATTAAGATAGAATGGCTGTCTCTGGGTTCATATCTGCAGTGTACTCCATAAAAGAGGCAGTGTCCCTCAAGTTTTTGCACATTCAGCAGCTTTCAGAAGTACCATGAGCCATATATGGTAGTAATAGTTATGATGGCCCTATTATGCCTCAGAGTCCACTCTAAGTAAGATGTTACCAACTTCGTTTTTATTCATCCCTTGCCTTATGATTCTTCATTAAGTAGTCTGGCTATAAATTTGATGCACCTCAAACTGCTGGACCACGGATCATATTAAACTAACCAGGGTAACCTTGAAATACACAGCAGCTTTTCTTGAAACTTAGTACCTTACATGTAATACATCAAACCACATGACTTTTAAGAGGCTGTCCAGCATGAGGCCTAGCATGCATGCTAATCAAGCTCATACACGACCAATGGCTGTTTTTCAGCAAAGACCTTTTAAAGGGTGAAGTCTTAAAGGCTGTGTCACATTTCTGTTCAGTTTCCTCAGTTTGTAAACAACATATATATAATGAGTCCTGGACTCTCAGTCCAGTCACTTATATGTGAATGGACTAAGACAGAAAGTATTTGACTCATGAACACCATGTGACCTATTTAAGTAGTTTTATGAAGAACGGTAGTCAAGCTGATCTGTCGACCAAAGCCTTTAACTGCTGCACATTGTGCATCTACTTAAACAAACTGTTACAGCCACTGTTAGCCACATGCATACGCTCTCATACTAGTAGCATATTGGCACTTTTGATGTCATTTTAAAGTATTTACTATGGCCTTACGATTATAATTTGTGCTCATCAACTTTGTCAATCATTAGTATTGAGCAGTTATCAGAGGTTATAAAAGGTATAAAATGCATTACTCAGCATTTATAATGGCTTGTCTATTTGATACTAACATGTATGCTAATAAGCTACTACATGTAGCACTGGTGACTATTTTTACTGGTATTATAAAGGGTTAACACATTTTTAATGATTTAAAAAAGTTTGGAGAACTCAGTCTTCAACTGTTGTTCAATATATATTTATAATACAACAATACAATACAGCAACTTAAAACCAGCACGATTCAATGATTTGAAACATTTTTGTGAAGAACTTCTTTCATTTGTTCTTTTTTTTTAGCACCTTACTTGTTCTAGAAATGCATTTGTAGAAAGTCATAGTACTATTACAAAGTCTGTTTATCAGTGGATTAAAGGTGGATATGTTAGCTGGATACTGTATCTAGTGCGAGTGTGTGCACTTACAATTCTGTCATCCACATATGGAGCTGTCCTATGGCTCACCTTGTGCCTGTGGAATTATTCACGAGGCAGTTACGCTCAGTTATGCTTCCATTAAGCACCATCTGCAGCCTGCTGGGGCAAGAAAGGAGGGAGTGAGAGAAGAATCAGATGGGTATGGAAAGAAAGAGTTAGAAGGAATAGATAGGAAGTGGGGAGAGAGGAAGAATAAAGGGCATAAATGGGGGAAGTAAATATATAGTTGTAGTACCAGATAATGGAAGGAGCAGGGGGGTGAGGGAGAGTAAGAAATGATGAGAGCAGCAGATAAAGGGAACACTAGAAGGGGAATGTTTGGTCGAGGATGAAGGAAGACACCTCTGAATGTGTTTTGCATATCAGATGTGAGAGGAGGGGAGGTTTGTTGCTGCTGACGGCCTTCTGTCTGACAATATGCATGAATGAGGGTTCATTTCTGTCTCCAGATTACCTGCTGTATGTAAATAGACTGAACAGTACATTTTCAGATTGTTTTTCCTGGGAGACATTTTTAGTGTCATAGTTGTGTTTTTGGTTTTGGAACGTTTCAGACTTGGTTGGACTCACCCCTACAGTAACAAAGATTGTCATTTTTGTGTGGAAATTGTTGGTTGTTGTGGGAGCCTAGTCACCACTTCTGTTTTTGACCTTGGCAGAGAGCATGTGTTGCACTTATTTTTGACAGAACAGTCGCAAATCTTCCTCATTTATTTGTTCCCCTTACAGTTTAGGACTCCTCCGAAGCCCTCCTAAATATTAGATTTACCAGTAGGAGGCATTTCCTACAATAAAAAAGTTTTTACCCCTGTCACTAAAAGTAGGACAAAAGGCAAGTCAGATTTTAAATCCTTTTTTTTTCTATTCTGAGAGACAGCTGTTAAATAATTAACTTACTGCAAACACTGGTGAAAAGTTACAATTCAAATCTTATTATCAAAATAGCTTTGGCCTGCAGTACCTCTTCATCATTCCAAATTGTGCTTCTGACCCTAACCCTCATGATAATTACCTCTTTGAACGGTTAATTGTCAGATTTTTTTCTCTTTAAAATCTCACATACAGTTTCAAAGTGCTACTTATCACTTATCTACCATTGCTAACAAATGCTGATAATTAGCTTTCAACCTCATATGACCCTTCTTTGTAGCATTGTCTTCATTGTAAATTGTTTTCTTCTATTTTCAACCACATGCATACTCATTACTGCAAGCTTCAAGTTAACTAATTCCTTATGGTGGGTGATTAATAATCTTTTTAAAAGCATACAAATGTTGTAGTCAATTTCTCCTCATTCCAACATTCTCCTCTGCTAGAACAAAAGCTAGGAGAGTGTAGCAAAACATTCTTTTTTAGCTAGGCACAACAAACTTGCATTGAGTTCTTTGGTGCCGTGGGCAGGATTTTATCTGTAGCATTTAGCAACAGAGGAGTTTCAGTTTTTAAAAAAAAGTGTGAGAGAAAGGGAGAGAGTGAAATGATAACAGTTTAGATTTCAAAACGTCTTTTGATGTGGTGTGACAGGGGAGCCATATGGCGCAGCATTAACTAATCCTCCTCGTTTCTCTGACATTCCTAAATGGATTATCTATTTGGCTGCTTAATACTATTTCATTTTCATTCTGTCACAGTTAGTCCTATCCCCATACATCACTCACGTTGGGATTCAATTAGCATGGCAGTAATTAAGCAGGGGCTGTGTCTCCCTGAAATGCACACAACATTATTTGACAGCCTGCCGGGAGTAGGGAAGGGGATAAGTTGACAGAGAGAGAGGGAGAGAGAGAGGGAGTGATGAAAGAATGTAAAATGGGGATACTTTTCATCAAGTGCTGTCTGTTTGTCTTGTAACATCCCCATTTGTCACTACAAAATATAGATATGTCATCCAACACAGACATTTGCTGGCATTTTTTTTACAGTGAACTCCAAAAATGTGAACAACTATTGATTAAGTATTGTAGCTCAAGATAGCAAAATATTTGATCCTATTTCATTTTGCAGTCTAGCAGTCTGAGTTTGAGATTACAAAAAGTTGCACATTTTCCATTAGATAAACGCCTTTTCCATGTGTTTTCCTCCAACCCTTGAGTCAAAGCTTTCATATGATTGATACGTGACAAACATGACGTTTTGTTTTGTCCAAGTGGCACGTGTGAGGCATGTCTCTGTTAGAAATGAGAAAGCTGCTGCGGTTCTAATGGCACATTGCACTCACAGAATACACAGCGTGTCACTTCTGTTCCACTGACAGGTACCACTTTTCCCCGTCATGTACCGGTCATACTCCATCATTGTTTCAGTGTAAAATGAAACTAGCGAGTGTTATGCCATAAATACATTTAGGTTTTCCACTTTGCATAAGCATCGATTTAATGAACATTAAATGCAGAAACAAACATTGTGTGAGTAAGAAACGGGTTGTCACCTCTTTCAAAAGTGAAAGACTGCCTGCAGCCTTTTAAGCCTTTTGCATAGTCAAATTGATGCAAAGAAAACCACAGAGAAAGGTTAACATACACATTCTTAACAGATTCGTTTTGATGTTAATGATTAATAGCAATGCTTACATTTTCCTCTATAAAATCAGTTTTGATATCTACCTCAATAACTCTCATTTCATTAGGCATCTTGCCTATGGTAGTTTTAGATAGCTGTATCAGTAAATTCCTGAGAGATTCCTTCTAATTGAATATGTTTGTCATTAATAAGTGCAACATACAAAAAAATGACTTTCAGAAAGGAGCCAAAATACCTGGGTTCTCACACCTTTCCTGAGGTAAGAAAAAAAGAATCACAGACAAAACATTGGAAACAGTTCAAAGCAGTCTTCAAATCTCTGTTATTTTAACTTTTCACAAACATTATAATAGACTTGCGTGTACTTCTCTGAGCAATCCTCTGTCCTTTTAATGTGCATGCTTAACCTGTTGTTAAGATATTTTCATACAAGAGAATGAAATAGCTGTCAACTCACTGAAAAGTCAGATAGAGACAAACACGCGCACACACACACACACACACACACACACACACTGGCCCACATCCCGTCCTGCAAGAGGGGTCCGGTAACATGGAGCACCCACAGCCACCCACACCTGCTAGTTTGAGCAGCCAATCATATATCAGCCCGGTCTCCCACCGAAACAACTCTGTGCTTCTTTGAAGTGAAATCTAATTATTGCTGCGGCACTGCTCAGGAACACTGCATGTGTGTGTCTACACTTGCGCCTCTGAGCTAATGTGTGTGCCTGTGTGTGTTTCTGTGTGTGTGTGTGTGTGTGTGTGTGTGTGTGTGTGTGTGAGCATACACCTATCAAAACTCCCCCTGGTGAACATGACAGAGGAGATGTGGATGAAGAACAAGCTGCTCAACTCTGCTTTCATCTTCTTTCCCCTCTTTTTTTACTGCCTGAAAACTCAGCTCTGACACATAAAAAACTCATCTCATCAGCGTATGTGTGTATGCGCGAGACACATTGTTACATATTTCATGCTGCTGAGGAGTTATCATTCCGTTTGAGTGTTTGACAAAGCAGCACTTGTGTGTGAGGGGCATCCGGCATGTGTTTGTCTGGTTTGGGTGGATGCTGCTGTGTGACACTTTTGGAAGCAGCTTTTGATGACATGACAGATCGTACTCGAGTGTGTGACATGCTTTCATTTCAAAGTGTTATGAAGCTCTTACACTGACTGATGGTTTATGTGTGCGTGTATCTTGTTGACTGATGGGCCTGTGTTGTTTGCATGTTTACCACACTGAGAGTGTTTTTTTGTACGTTTTTCTCATGAAGCTACCCTCAGACAACATCCAGCACCTGTGCCTTGTCTCTGATAAAGAGATGGAAAACGCTCGGCAGCAGGATATGAAATATGCTAATGAACCGACATATTGATAATAATGCCTCAAACACATGGCAGAAAGAAAATGAAAAAACCTGCGATGGATTTTAGTCTTTTACCAACCTTGTTTCGAGACAGAATTGAAATCCTCACCTTGAGGGAATACTCGGAGAAACTTAACATAAGGATAGTCAAGCTGTAGACATCAATCATAAGGGTAATGAAGTCATTTATTTTTGCTAAGCTCTGACACCAGGAATTAGGGGCTCTGTACAAACTCTTTCAATAACATTAACAATATGTTCCTCCCTGTTTTTACAATGTACAGAGGTACAAATTCAAATTCACCACGCCTTACACAGCAGGAAGAAATGCAAA